CTCTTTCTCAGACCACTCCTTGTATCCTCCGGTATAATTACGTGCACTGAAACAGAAAGACAGAGGAAAAAATAAGAAAATGGAACGAATACAAAACACATGGACAGCAAAGCTCAAGAGGCAATGTTACCGTGAGGAAACAACATTTGTACAGGAGTCGTAAAAGCAAGACGGGCTGTGTGAGGGTTTGTGTGTAATGTATAGCAACCAATAACTTATTTACTTCACGTATCCAAGTTCGCAGGCCTTGGTTGTGGCAGCTACCCCTCGTTTGCCCATCTGGCAGTGAAACACCAGCTCTGGCGCCTCCAGCAGTGGCTTGGTTACTCCGTACTTGGCCTTGAATTGTTCTGGCGCCATCGCAAAAGCAGCCTCTACTGTATCAACTGAATGAATAAAAAGGGAGCCAGAGAGGAAGAAAGACAAATATTTTAAGATTAAATAGATGATGGCACACACCCAGGATAACTTTGGTGTGAAGGTTTATGATGGGTGATAATATTGAGGGGGAAAAAAACTCAGTGTTCACTATGTGACAGTGGTATATTCCCTATGTGTTCACCTGGGATGTGAACGGATCCTTGAATTTGTCCTTTATCCACTTCCTCTTTACTGCGAACATCCACCAGGAAGAGATTCTCGCTCTTTCCCAGGAGCGCTTTCAGATCCTCATAGGAGATGTCCTTGGTGACTGGCAATGAGAGAGGAAACACATTAATGGCTTTGAAGAGCAGATGAGCCTTTGTCGGGACCTCCCATAACATTTTTAAATCCAAGTTAGGCTTCAAGTGAAAAAACAAATGTTGTTATTGCACTGTGTTCATTGTTAGGCACCATTCACCAAGCCAGATTCCTTGTATGTGTAACGTACTCGGCAATAAACAGTAAAAAAAAGTTCCATACAGTGAGCGTTACACATTTTGAATCTGGGGAAAAAGAGTGTGCTGGTGCGGATAATATGTTGAGTTGAGGTATTTCATGAGAGCAAATCACATTAAATTGCTTTGGGATAATGATTGAAAAGATCTGGACCCAGATTAGGATACAAAGAGGAGAATGCTGATTTTTTTTATTTTTTTTTTTAAAATTCCTGATGCCCTCTCGACCTTCAGGTTGCATTCCTCTCCAGAAGATTGCTCCCTCATGTTGGCACTCTCTTATCAGAGTATATGTGTGTGTGTGTGTGTGTGTGTGACTGAAAAATTAGGAGTAAAATGTACAATGCACTCAGTCGCCTTTGATGTAACAGGTCACGGTATGCAATCGTGTTTAGCTTCATTTGAGAGTGAAATATGAAACCGTTTTTTTCCCTGAAGACACAGAAAGCTTCCGGTTTGACGTTGTCAAGACGATCCTTTGTCTGCTGAGTCATTGAATCATTAATAAATGAATACCTTAATATTCTAATAACAAGGGATTCCTTCTTCATCTATTATTTATTAGTTGGGGAAATCTGTGCTCAAGATAGTTAACATGCAACAACTAAAGTTAAGAGACCCGCCGTTACGCAATCAGTCAACAACAACAATTAGCGTTAACGTTACTAACGTCATGTTAACGTTATTCATTAGCTAAACAAGTTAACGTTAACTACTAAACTAACGTTTCTCAACCACTATTAGGGATGTTTCAAGTTGTTTACTGCAGTCAGTAAAATGATATCTGTCTCTCAATGAGGTAAGTGTAATGAGACTCACCTGAGGTCGCCATTCTTCTTAAAGGTAATTTCACACACTAGTTAACATGAGATACATCTTCTTCCTCAAATTGTTTAGTGACCAGTCATTGGCTAACAACTGGAGAAAGTCCCGCCTTTCTTCGGTGTTTAATCAACTTCCTTCTAGTGCTTTTAAATGACTTTCAAAATAAAAGTTGCCAAGTTATGTACTTTACGGGGACTCAGTCCCCGTAAAAAAGAAAAGATAGTACAGTGTAAAAGTATTCTGTTAGGTAAAAGTCCTGCATCCAAAATTCAACTAAAATGATCAGTAAAATGTACTTAAAAGTAACTAAAAATACTCACTCTGCAAAATGGCCTATTTCAGAGTGTTATATTATAGGTTAATATATACAGCATGTTATTGAACTATTATTAGAGATGCATCAATTTGTGACGTTAATGTGAAGCTGGTCGAGGTGGAGCTAATTTTAACAACTTAATATCGTGCTGAATATTTTCCTCTATAAAAAGGCAAATATATAAAATCTCTTCAAAGTAAAAAGGTAACTAAAGCTCTGAAATAAATGTTGTTGCGTGAAAAGTAATATATAATAATGTATAATATGTCAACGCACATTAATTTTTATAGCTTGTACACCTTACTAAGACACATTATGTTGTTTTCGCTATTAATTAAATTTGTCACTCTTCTGTATGTTACAACACGTAAGCCTGCGCAAATAAGGCAACTATTCAGACCTTTTTCACATTGTTTTTATTAAAATAAGTTTTAGTTTCTTATGAAAGTCAGTACCTATATCCTAAAAAAATATCTACAATTAAATTTAGCCATGACAATACAAAAAAACACTACAATAAACCTACAAAGCTTAATTTGCCAGCAAATAAACCTGTAGTTATAACCACAAAGTAACAGAATTGTTAGTGTTATTCCATGAACATATTCCTTGAAACAGGAGTATAAACAACTTCTTAATTTCTATAATCAATCATAACACCACCCCAGAAATGTTTGCCTTTTGTTCATGATTACACCGTTGCTGTGCCCCGTGTCTCCTGGGGCCTGTTCAGTGTCACTGAGATGGATTGTCTGTGCTGAACTAGTCTTGATCACAGAGTCCCCTCTGTGCTGTAAGAAGGGTTCCCTAGTCCATCAGCGGAGTCCCTCTTTGCCTTTTTACGCATTTGATACTTCCAGAAGATCACAGCTGCTATGATGAGAAGTAGAAAGAGGGCAACTCCTCCTCCTATAACCCCAGCCAACAGTTTATGGTCGGAAGATTCAGGAGGGTCGTACCGCTTACAGGAGAAATCTGAGGGGGTGCTGTGTCCTGCACTGTTCACTGCCTCCACGCACACCTTAGTGCCAACTTCCAAAGATATGACCAAACCTCGTCGCGAAACTTTCTGAAACTCCAGGGTTTCCCTCCCCTCTATCACCAATCTGTACCCAGAAACCACAGAAGACGGAGCACACCACTGGACCTCTATCTTCCCTCTGTCACCCCCTTCACTGATTGGCTGCAGCACTTGGATGCGTGGAGCATGAGGAGGCTCATCGGCCCCGCTGACCCCAGGACAGAGGCACCCAATCCTTTCTGAAATTTTGTTGCAGGGCTCCTGATTCTCCAAGCAGGGGTTGTACTGGCAGAGCTGCGGCTTTTGTTGGAGTAAGGTAGTCTGCACGGATTCCACCACTTTAGGAGGAGTGCTGTGGTTGTCATTGTCAAAGTAATCATCTTCATAGTTATCATCTGAGGTTAAGCCAGTCACGAATATGATCTGCGCACGAGTGGTGGGAGCTAAAGTAGAGGCGGCATGGGTGAAGAGGTGGGAGTGGAGGAGAGGCGAGGCACTCAGAAAAAGGATTAGCACAGCCAGGTTTTTACGCAGTGACGTCATCTCTATGGACAGAAGTGAAAAAGAAATTATAAGAATGAATTCTAAAAATATTGGTCACTGCAAAAGCAATACAGAAAATAGATCGAAACAGATCACTAACACCGTTAACAGTTTATCCAGTCAGTGTAAGAGATGAAATACGTCTTCATTGGCAATTGTTTCATTGTTTCTCTATCGACCTTGTAAAAAATGATTATTCTTAGAGGCTTATGAGAAGGAATTTAAAGTGTGATTAAGTTGGAGTAAAGAAACTGAAATGTAGTGGTCACTGCATCAAAACACAGAAACCAAAATACAGAACTTGGTTACAATACCAGATAAAAATAAGCAAGGCAACAAGGATCCACGGTACTAAGGATAAAAGATAGGACACATGAGATTTTTAAAGAAAGGTTTGTTGTGAGTGGTAAGACTTTAAACACATGTATTTGGCTTGTTGACTAAGAGGCTATTTTACCTTGGAAATAGCTCTGTGGATAATCAAACAATCGCGTAGTTCTAGTTTCCATCCTGTAAACAGCTTAAGATAAATAAATGCTGAGTGCTGGATGAAAGAAATACGACTGTTTGTGTGACCCCAACAGCACTTCCATGTTCTGCTGGCACCAAGCCAGAAGAGTTCTGTGTGAACCCATGACTGAAGTTTTACTTTACACTTTCTGGTTATTTTTTAAATAACCCTAATACTCAGAAGATCATTTTGTCATGCCTGTAAATGCAACTGATGACTGAACCTCTAAGAATAAACATCCAACCATGCCAGTGTTTTGCATCTGGTGAACACACAAATCAGCATTGTGACAAATGTGACTTTAAAGTAAAGAAAAGTGTTCAAAATGGTTTACCTGTTTGATGGTGGTGGACGTTTCAAGTCTTATTTTCTCTGGTTCCCACTGTCTGCTCTCACCGTGTACTCACGACAGTCCTCTGCTCTCACCGTCTTAAGTTCCCTCCCTCAGACTCTCCCCTCCTCCACAACACCCCCTCATTTTCTCCCCTTAGTGCCTCTCCCTCCCATTTCACTCTTTCATGCTCTCCTCTCTCCTTTTTTTTCCATGTCTTGCCCCCTTCTCTTTCTCAACTTGGAACCAGCTGTTGTTGCTCTTTTCTTTTTCTTTTGTATTTGTGTGTGACTGTGTGTCGGAAAAGTGGATGGGGGTGCAGAGCCACCATGTGCCTGTGTGCTGCTCCGCATATTAATTTGCTGGGTAGCAGCAGGAGGCAGGCTTGTGCTTGTTTCAGTATGTGTTTGTGTAATCCGTAGGTGTAGCGGCCTGTTTTTGATTACCTCTTTAAAAACCTAAACTTCTGGCATACTTTGCAGGTGTTGTGGAAACTAACAGGACATAGGGTCACTTCAATGTGTTTATGTGTGCCTTTGAGAGTGGGGGGTGCGGAATGCATGCATGTGTATTTATTATAGACCCCCTCCACATCTTGTAGCCCCCATTGTGACAAGCTGGAGAACGATAAAGGCTTTCTCCTCTTTCGTCCTTTTAAGGGGTAGAGCTGGCAAAGACGACAAATTCTTTGTTATTGAAAGTGCCCACATTCACTGATGAGAGGAAAATTACCAAGGCAGGATCCTCCTGAACTTCAAAACTTAAAGGATTTACTCAACCTGCTTTTTCCTAGAATAAATGGCTTCATTTAAATTTGAGCTGAGTTGAGTGCATGTATACAAGGAATTATTGGAAGAGCAAAACCAACGACACAAAGCAGACCACAGTTAAGAGACATTGTGAGAGTGTCCACTTGCATTCACAAGAAGGCAAAATGGTTTGACAATATGTTCACAAGAAAAGGGCTGAGAGCACAGAAACAATAAACCATTGGGAGATGAATAAACACCGAAGGCAGGCTTAAATGTACTGCCACTTAGTGTACAGCAGGAAATAGAATATAGATTTATGTACTGTTTTTATACAAAATTCTATTTACTTATTTGGGAGAAAATACGTATGTTCCAATATGTGCACATTGGGTGTACAGTTGTGTACATGCTTAAATACAGTACGTAACGTAAAAGAATCACAAATCATAAACAGTCAAACCCACTTTACTTTGAACAAACTAAAGGAGTAGCTTATACGTAGCTTTTGATCACACCTTGATGACACACATATTGATGGCTCAGTGTGGCTTCTCCGTAACTTGTGAAATGTGTTGTTTGTTGAGGTTTTGGGGAAGTGGCTGAAGTTCTGTGTTAATTTCCATGTGTGATTAATTGGAAAAGGTGGTGCCTGTGAGTCAAGACATGTTTCCATCTGCTCCTCCACATTCTCACTCCCAACTCTTATAATACAACAGCTTGGTCAGTGGCCCTTGGTTGTTGTTGTCATACCTATGCTGGCATGTTATATCCGAATGATCTTGTCTCCGGGCTAGATGACACACACAGCCGTGCTCTTCCGTGCCGGGTGGCTGCTTCGAGCCAGATATCTACAAAGAAGAAAAAGATGGGCCGACTGAAATGCTTAACTAATCATACTTCTATTTCAGATCATAGGGCATCACAGTTCCCAGGAATTTATAAATATTGTTGATTGTTTGACTTTATATATGAAACTATTGGTTAGTCTCTATGTATTATGAATTATAATGCAACACACTAGAGAGGAAAATTCAGAAATGCATATATTGTTTATCAAAGGATGTAGATGTGGATCAAAGAGGAGGGCTTCGCCTCAATAAATACCGGCAGTTTTTCCAGCTTCAAGCTTCAGGTTGTTTTGGCTGCATGAGACAACCATCTCTTCCACCCCCTGCCTGTCGTCCCGGTCCGCAACGTCAGGAGCTGATAAGTCTCAACAGCCTGCTGGTAACTGGATGGTACAGGTTGCTGTGACTTATCAGAAGTGAAGTGATTCATTTCAACATTCGCTCCTGAGCGAAACAATCCATCTGCAGCCGTCTTTTCTCACATTTCCTGGCAGTAGTCGTTTTACAGCGTTTCATCATTCAGCTGCACGTTTCCCTCATTTTCCTCCATTAAGCAGTTCTTATTGTAATATCATTGTTACACTCACACTATAATGTGTGATGGTTGAAAAATCAGACCCTGTACTTGAATGAACAAGGTTTCCAAAACAACAAAAAAACATACATATACAAACATAACATCAGTGATTTGTGGGGATATGGTAATGTGAGTTTGTCACTGTTTCTGTTGGTGAGTGGGTGACCACAGAATTAGTCTGTGATCAATAGAGCTATTAATATTGTATGAGTGAACCTCTGGACGAGGCTTGGAAACACTTTGACAAGTTCAAAGGCTATTTTTATGAATGAGCTCATACTGTACTTGTGTATGGATCAGATTTCCTTGGGGATGAATAAAGTACTATTCTATTCTTCTATTCTATTCTTCCTTCATCCGAAAACGAAGGAGTTCCTCTCTTGTTCAAATAAGGGAAGAGGACAAGAAGGAGGCGAACACAAACAAGTATGTGAAATGTTTACAGGGACCACCAACCATCTGTAATTCTTCAGATCGACTTTTTGGTCTGTTGTACTTTGCCGCCACCATTCATATCCTTATCACTTATCAGAGGGGAAAAGAAAGGAACCGTTCAGTAACACTCATGATCATGGGCAGGCTAGTCAATCACTTATGAATGTCTAGACTCATCTAGACTAATTTGAACTGTTGAATAGTTTTCTTCAAAGTAGGCGACATCACTGAGGAGATGCTAGTGACAGGCCAGCATGTTGAACTTTTCTTCAAACTGTGGCTCCAATGTCCTCAAGGAATAAAGGAAGCCGCTGAGCACGAGTCATACTACTCTAATGACTAGCACGCTAGTGCATTTTCCCTCTCCCACCAACCCAGCATGTCTGAGCATGCTGCTGGACATTTGTCAGACAACCTGCATGTATCCCCGTCACCATCACCTGATTGTAGATAGCACCACAATTTCACAAGAGTGCTGTAAAGTCTGAGAGAAACAATACCTTTATTTATACCTCAATAAGATAGTCGTTTAAGGCAGGAATTCCCCTCCGCCTGTTGAGCAAGTTAAAACAAATACACTTTACTTTCACATTCACTCACTTAATTCGGCCTTCAAGCCTCATAGTGTGACTTTATCAAACTCAGAAATGTGTGGGCCTCTCACAGATGCTCATTCCCTCTCCTACCCACACCTCTCTAAGGAGTTGAAGTATTCCAATTTAAACAGGAAGCTCTACTATTGGCTATATCCCCATCACCTTTGACCTGTACTTCATTCAAAAGGAATCCCTGGGTAGTCTTGCAATCATGACTGTGTGAAGTTGTGTGAACTGCTATTTTTAGCTTTAAAAAAACACTGTGGAGCCAGAGTGGGCAATACAGACTACTGATCCATAAGTGGCTAATTGGAAGCAGACGTGTGATGATGCAGCAGCTCCATCTGATGACAACTTCCCACATTCCTGCCGCCACTGCATGTTTGAGTCATTAAAAACTATGAAGTAAAGGGGACTGGGCTGCATCACAGAAACCCTGCTGCAACAGGCGGAGTTCAGCTTAAATTCTCCCTGCTTAAGTGAATCTTCATGGATGTTGATTGATATTAACCTTTGTTAGGGGAGGAAAACCTGCTGAATGTCCCTTTATGTATCCTATTAATGTCATACAAGACAACTCAAGACAACTTTGACTGGATTAGGTGATGATATTACGGACACATCACGTGTTGATACGTGTTGGTGTTGTCTTATGACACACCTCGGATAGATTACACAATGTAAAATATACATAGTGTGAGTGGAAAGTGGGCATGTTCGCCTGCTGGATGTCTGGATGTCTGTGATGACGAGACTAGATCTTTATCAATATTTACGGTAAAGACTACGACAGCATGTTGGGGCCTAACACACATCTCAGCTATTTAACATTATATGAAAAGATAGTTTAATCAGCCTGCAACCTGTGGCAGCATAATCAGGTAATGGGACTGATAAACCACAACACCAACTTGACTACATTAGAATGCTTTTTTGTTCCTCAACCTTATACAACCACATAACAGGCCTTTTTTGTTGTTGTTTTAATGTTACCAATAACATTAATGATGGCTCATCAAGTGTCCCTGTTAGTCATGATAGTGTGACAGTGAGCCAGCATAAAAAAATATTAGGACCCTGAAACTGAAGCAGCTAAATTAAATTCAGCCGTCATTAATGTTATTATTTACACGTTTTCCCTGCTGTAACATGTCGTAATGTCTTTGATGACAAAGGTATATGCAGTTTGTAAAAAAAACATTTGTGTTTTGTTATGTGAAATAGACAAAAACAAGCTCAAAAAACTTGCAAGAGTAAGCTAAGATCTGTAACTAACTTATTTAGCAAATCCGTCTAAGAATAAACTCCACTGAATGTCAAATGTTGGGTAACTTCCAACCTAAACAAACCACTTACACTGAGTTATAGCTCCACTTAGTGGTGAATAGTTGTACTTGTCAGCTACGATCATGTGAATACAAATAAATAAATCCCCTACTTGTACTCTCGTCAGTAACCTAGTACTTGAGTAAATCTAGTTACTTATTAAATTACATATTTTTCTAAATACTTTAGAAATGGATGGAGTTAGACCAGAAATGGGTGGGACCATGCAGTTGTTTTTTTACTCCCAGTAAAGTGTACTAGAATTATTAGGTACTGTACACGGGGCAGGAACACGTCAAAAACATGCGTCGAAGCACCACATTTATAAAGCGATAAATGACCTAACTGTCAAAAGTTACGACATTTAACGCGTTGATGAGCCGTTACATTCACGGTAGTGGGACTTTTTTGAATCGGCCTTTTCTAACCGAAGAAACGGACGCCACCGTCAACGGTTAACGGCAGGATGTAATTTGCGCAGTCTGAGGAAGTAAATTGTCGGTGTCGGTGTCACACTGAAACACTCGGATCTTTATGTGAATCCGAAGCAGATCCGAAGTGCAAACTCGTTCCACAACTGTAAACTACCGTAACTGTACTGGAGCTCCGCCATTGGTTAGAACGGTTCCATCCGCCGGGGAAGGTAGGCGGGGGCGAGCCGTTGAATGACGGCCGTTGCTCAATTTACACTTGAGAGAGAAGAGACAGCCTCCAGGACCCACGCGGGGCCTACATATTTCATATTTATACCGAGTAACGATATCAGATGAAAGAGGAGCAGCGCGTAATCGTTTTGTAATCACCGGGGGGGGGGATGTTGCGGATCATGCGCGGACATGCGTGACGGTACGACACGGTGTCGAGACCAAGCGGACGTCTTCACAGGTTGATGAGCTATGGGGAAGCCAGCAAAAAAGTAGCCTACATGATTGTAGTCTATAGGCGGCTTCAACTGACACGGACTCACACTTAAAGGAGGAATAGGCGGTGCCTGCTAATCCCTGGAAAAATACAGTGGACCGGAATGAGACATTTAACGTTTTGCAGGTTGGGGTTTATTCGCTGAAGTTGACGCTCAGATTCGGCTATAAAGCAGCGTGTAAGGGTTGTCTAACAGTCAGGACCGTCCGTCTGCCTTGCACATTTTGACATCAAGCCAATCAAATCGGTTATTCAAATCGGCGCTCTTATGTCAGTGACCTATATCTCATGCATGTGCGCCAAAAGCTCACAGTAACCTCTTCGCCGGGACCAGACAGCATGGGGATCAACGGGTTAGACAACCAAGCGCAGCCGTCCAGCGGAGCGTCCCGGGCGGAGGAGACAGCTGCGGATCCTCAGACGGAGCAAAGAGTTGCCCCTCGAGAAGCAGACTGCGGGAAGGATGACCAGGCGGCGGGCAGCGAGTGTCAACCCGTGCAGGAGGACGGCTCCGTGCAGTTGTTGGAGGCCGGGTGCAAGCCGCCCCTCTGCCCGGTGTCGGACTCCGAGTCGGGGGTCCAGGTGGAGGAGTGCGGCCACGGAGGAGCCGCGTTCGTCCCACCCGAAGGAGGTTTCGGCTGGCTGGTGGTTTTCGCGGCAACCTGGTGCAACGGGTCGATCTTCGGCATTCAAAACTCTTTCGGCATCCTACACATGATGCTGATGAAGGAGCACGCAGACCCAGACGACAAGACGTCTCAGTTCAAAGTGGGTGAGTACCACCAGACAGTCTGCTGAGGCAGCCTGAGGATGAGGTGAAACAACAACACATCAACTGGTGCACAGATGCACATTTATTTTGTGTCTTGGATGCATGATATGAAAAGCTAAAAGGTGGAAATGGGAGCTCCAGTGAATGATTTGATAGAATATCAGCATCACGAAAACAATCTCCTCATGTAACACCAGCTTAATACTAGTTTAGTGTATATATGCATCTATGCCACTTGAAGAAATATGGGTCATCTCAGAGTTCAAGTGGGTTTAGCATTTAGAGTAGCACAATAAACATTATATTACATTACGTGCCTCGTCGATACATTTAAACGCTGCATGTTATTTTTGTTCAGAAAAGTGTGCTTTTTAAAGACTCCTCCTTCCTCCTTGTTTGACTTGGTCAGCTGCATGTTTTGGAGAGCACCATCGCTGATGTTCAATCATTAACAGGCATTTTGACTGAGCAGCTCTCTCCTTCCATTCATCAACATCACTGTTATATTAACTCCTTTGACTAGATGTGGCAAATCCATTTCCAGTTAGTCACAAATGGCTCTTTTGACAGTGATTTCCCCCAAAGGCTGAAAGTTATAGAAATGTACCCCAGGTATTTTAATTACTTGAAAAGTGTGACCCAGCAAACTTTACAAACTTGCAAAAAGTTTCTGCTCAGAATCTAAATATTCCACAGAATGTTGAATATCCAATGTTTAATTTATTATTACATTACTTTTATGGGTTTTCCTTGTTCGGACTATTTACAGTTAAAAGACTCAAAAGAGATGGGAGGCATGTGACAAAACTCCTATGCATTCAAGACATCTATTATTACAATGCTAAATATAGTATATAAGCTAAAAGACCTCGGGATAATTTAATTCCAGGAATTTATATTCCTATGTGTCACAGTAAAGCTGTTGTTGGGCACATGCTATTCATGGCCAGAATAAGGCCAATGTTCACTTCTCTGTCTCCACTCTGTCAGATAAATATCACAAGCGTTCACTGGTGAATGTTCTGTCAAAATACTGGGTGGTGCAAGACTATGATACAGCCATATACTGGAACAGACACACACATCTTAAGATATAAATCTCTTATGTTACTTTCAAGGAATACGACCAAACAGTCTCCAGACAAACTTTGAAAACAAAGACTTCCCAAGCCTCCAATAACCTCCAATAACTGACATTTTCTTGCTTGTGTTTGTTACCATAGTGGAAATGTTGAGAAAAAAAACCTCAGCCTCCACTTTCTCCACTTTATTGTCAATGAAGCATCTTTGGAGGTTTGGTCCCTTGATGGTTTTGCAGAGTTTTGGCCTCCAGCTTTGAAGTCGTTAATCACATAAACGACCACTGACTAAATAAGTTATTATGGAAGTTCTTGTTAAGGGAAGAACTTTGAAATGGTCTGTTTTAGATTATAGTGAAAATAAATGTTTTTAGGAGGGGAGTAGCGTGTAACAAGAGTAGGTATTTTCTTAACTTCCCGTCAAGATCCACCATCACCAGTGAAGGTTCAGGTCAGGATGTCGGAAGGGATTACGGCTCTAAGGCTGTTCCCTGGAACAAATTCAACATTTCTCATCAGCATGAAAAACATGAAGTGAAAACCAAAAGGCTCAGGCATGATCAGCCTCATTTAGGCACAGGTTGATTCATTTAATGGCATCTTGAACCATGTCATCTCTAATTTATGTGAAGGAAATGACTGTGTCTGGGGACAGGGCATCACATTACTTTCAGGTTTTGTGTGATAGAGAGTCTCAGAGTGTGTTGGGCCTGAAACAGATTCCAGGCCAGATGTATTATTTACAGTATCTCTTGCATTCAACAGAAGGCAGTTGCTGTCAAGGTATTACTTGCCAGCTTTCCCCCTTTTTTTTTGGCTTGTGAAGGATTTCGTCTTCAGTCGTTCCTTGGATGTGATTCTTGGTTATTCTCATATGTGGAAGGATTAAGCTAGTAGGCCGAGTACTGACCTTTCCCCCCTGCAATAGAAGAAAACGGAGGGAAACAGCTTAACAACAATAGCCACAGTTGTACAACTTTTAAACAAATATCCAGTCTGAGAGAAGTTCAGTTTACATGTGCAGAACATCTTAAAACAATATACTTCAAAAGCAATACATTACAGCGCAGCAGGAGAGAAGGCAACACAAAATGATTGAGATGTGATTAGCATTAGGTCTTTATAGCAAGCTTGATTAAACTAGGTATTTATTAAGCCTTCAGGGGTAAACAAGAGATTTTCAAAATAGCTTCATAAGTATCAAGGTGGGGGATTGGAACCGCTTTTTTTTTTTGAAGTTAAAGAAGGTAGGGGGTTATGAGTTGCAGATGTTGGTGTTCTACTCAATGATTACAGCATGGCAAGGTTAGAAGTTTCATTTCTGTTGTACAAAATTGCTTGCATGTAAAAGATGTGTAACCAACACAACATTCTTTTAAAGTTAAAGACTGTGACGCTTCTAAAATCAGTGGGGAGTGATGAGGTGATGTGTGGTTGACCATAGGTGAGCCACATGTGCAAGAGACTCAGAAAACGTTTGCAAACACTGGGAATGTGAGTAAAGAAAAGGGGCTGAGTGAGTAAGTGATTCATCTTTTCTTAATACTTAAGAAATGATTTCCCGTCTCTATGCAACTAGTGTGAAACAGATCAGTGGGAAGACTGCAACGAGACAAACAGAGTCTCATTCAAGTACAGTCTGTCCTATTTGTGTCTAAATGTAGAGCACAATGAGTGGAGTTGTTTCACTCCAGACTATAACCCTTACTGACAGCAGCATTTGGCCTTTAATGGAGTTTTCCATTAAATGCTAAAAAAGACACTGACGACACTTAAGAAACCAGACATTTTAACAATGTAAGTTGGATAATGGAAACATCAGAAAGCTACAAGCAACTCTGTGCCACAATTACACATTGACGCACACTTAGTAGTACTTCAGAGTAGCTCATAGTGATTGCAGTAATAGTGGAGAAACAATGGTAACTTACAAGTAAAACTAGTCGGAGATTGTGTGTGTTTAAATGTTGAGTTGTTTGTTTTATCATGATGCTCTTATTTGGCTTGGTACTTAGGCTATGATCAGATTTGTGTGTCCCGGGTTAGGGTTAGGGTTCATGAAATATTATAAATATGCATACTATGTTATAGCTATTTACTTATTTATTTATTAAACTTTTGCCCCGCTTCCCAGAGGAGCTATAACACGCTATGACCATGACACTTAGGAGACAGAAAGTGCATACCATTTCAAACCATTGGTGTTGTTTGTAATGCATCTGCTTTATGGAGCATCTTTGGCACCATTGAGCAACTTTCATAAGAACGAACGGGGCGCTGCCACCAACGCTGTATCCTATTCTCTTTATATATACTGTATATATATATTTTTTTTAACCGCGTCCAATGTGGTTTGGATCCAATTTGCAAAAATCACATTTCATGTTTTTTTTTTTTTTGCTGTCCACACTTTCTAAAATCAATCTGGAGACAATCTGGGAATGCCAAAACAACATTTGAGCTGACAGTTTTAACAAGGGCTTAGTATTGAAATAAAGTCAGTAAACATGTTTGCATTGAAGCTGCAGATAAACAGTACTTAGCAGGTGTTTATTACCTGGGCATTACTGTATATATTTAAATTGTATTATTGTCAGGGTGAAACAGCCTGGAATCAATTCAATTGATGTACAGGTAAATAAAAGTTGTATAGAACTAGCTAATCTTTAAAGGACAATGCCCAATTCTACCCATTCAATTCAAGCATACTAGCCGGTTTCAACACTGTATTCCTTAATATCCTCCTCAACTCTCAAAAGAGAAAAAAAAACAAAACATCCAGGATTCAATAAATGTGGCTATGCTGTCACACTCAAACTCCTCCAATCATTAGCTTACTGCTGTGCTTTGTAGTGCTGTATTGTAGTTCCGCTGCCCAGAATTTCCCCAGCATCTCCAGGGCAGCTACAAATCCCAGGTTGGCAGATCAGAGAGTACTGTGGCATTTTTGGCATTCCAAAGAGCAGGGGAATGGGTTCGGCTGGGATTAGAGTCTCTTAAAGCGCCACATAATCAGAAACAGGTACGTACAGATGACCAGAAGCAGGGATGGACTGTTTTGTTGAAAGTGGGTTTACTTTATCATCAATAAATTAAGGTATTTAATTATAGAAAGTTTTTCTAGCTAGCAGGGGCGAATGTAAATAGTTAGGAAAAAAGAAGACAAACTCTCCCTAGCCGATACAAAGGAATGGATCGATGATAAACAGCAACCTTTTCACAACTAGAAGTGAGCGTCTGTGGGAAATCTGGTGTTAACTTTTGAGAAACTCAAGCTGTGAGATCCAGCATGAGGTGAGGGCTACCAGTTGTAAGTTAGTTGAGTTAATTGAGTGTGATTTATGCCTGACGCATCTACAAAGGTCGTGGGTGTCTGTACAAAGTGACGTCACATCTTCAGACGCGGCCCTTCGCAGGTGTTTGGTGCGGCAGGTTTTTCCTTGTCCTTGCACATCCGCCTATCGCGGACCTCGATGGGCGGAGAAAACAGATAACTTTGGATCATGAGACGTTTCCTCGTCACAATTCCGCTTCAGCTCATATGTCTGTACGACCGTCCTTGTGGGAAGTATAACCAAGACTTTAGAGTAGCACAACAGATGGTGTTTCAGGAGTGAAGTTTGAGAGTCGAGTTGTGCTGCTACACACACATATGACCCACTGTCCTCTCTGCAAAACATATCCCATACACATCCATTCAACCCCATTATTAAACGTGCCAACACGAGCTGTTTGTGCAGCAGTGGATATTGGTAACTTGGAGCTTGATGTAACTGGTAAATATCTTGATTGGTCCCAAATGCAGACAGTTGGAGGCAGTAGGAAGAATTCAGTGATTTATTGTAAATGACTCACAGGCAGGGAGTCCAAATGGCAGGCAGGAAACCAGCAGACAGGCAACTGGCAGTAAAATTGCAACTTTGATGATCTGACAATGGAACAGAGGAAGTGAACGGTAACTGTAGAGAGTGGTTGTCAAGGGAATGAGATGCAGGTGAGGAGGTGGGCGGGGAAGGCCAGGCAGAGCTGATAAGGCTGTTTCGTTTCTTTTAGTTTGTGTTTTTCAGTTGAAGTGACCATGTGCGTCATGCAACAACATGTTGCCCAGCCGTAGCCTGCTAAAGACATTAAATGTGGCCTCGAGGAAATGGGCTTGTACCCCAACCTTTCCGTTAATGCATTGTTTAGCTGATGGAATATTTCTCCCATGTGTCTGAAGATAAAAGTGTGATCCAACAGAAGGAATGATGTGTTTTTGATTGTTTTTGGCACTCTGGATGTGAAATGAAACAGGGACTATGAGGTTGATTTCTTTATATGTTAAAGTTGTGTGTTCAGTGAAATTCCTCAAAAATATAGTTTCTTACTTACTGCACTGACATCTATCTAGGCAGATAGTTTTAGTTACACTGGAGGGAGATAACATTTAATTGGTACAGCCGGGAGCAACATGCCTTTCCAGAAAACAATGCATTTTCCTCTCAGGATAATCTAAAGAGCATGCTGTGAACATTTTATTTGAAAGAACTTCCTACGTTACTTTACCACCAACACTGAGGAATGTAAGGTCTTTAATCCATATGCGGCTCATTTGATAGGAATATTAACACTTTAAAATTAAAGCTAAAAGTATAAGGCAAACACAACCAAATGGTGTCACTGTCCAAATACTTTGTTCTTGCACTATAGCTGCAAATTGACAGGTGCGGCAACCTTTGTGAATTTCATTTTGGACTCCATATTGTAACCTCTGTGTTGAGGTAATTGTTCCATCACAGCTATGTAAAATGTAAAATATAATGTTGTTTTGAAAGGCGCGGAAGAACCTGAATGCCATAATGACTCAATTGTGGTAGAAAAGAGGGTTTGTTTGGCATGCAGGAGGATGTTTATGTAGATACTGAAATAAATTAGGACCAGTTTCAGCTTTGTACTCACACATGACATCAGTCAAAGTACAGACACATAAGCACATATGTACATATTGTACAGAAATATATATTTGGTTTGGTCTTAATTTGTCATGATATACAGTACATTGAATCAAATGAACATAGTTCTAAAAATAAGGAACTAGAGCGAAACTAATTACTGTTGTGAAACTCTCTCGGCACATTAAACATCCCCCAACAGTGTTTCCCTGCCAAAGAGAAGATAGTTCCTCCAATATACAGAAGGCCCATATAGACACTCACTCGCTGTCAGATTGCACCCTCACCTAAAGAGAGGAAAGATTGTTAAGCCTCCTCACTACCATGAACACACACACACACACTTTTCATTTCACTTCAGTCTCCATCCCCGTGTCCTTTTTCCTTTGTTTGGAGCCCTAATCGTCTGTAATGAATGCACTCCACTCAGTCTATTCACAGACCTTTAGCTTGTGCCAGGACAGGGGGAAACGGGTGCTTGGAGGTGGGGTTAGTCGGCAAAGAGAGGAGAGAGTGGAGGAATGAAAAGATGTTGCTTTGCTAGCCTCTGATTGAAGGTTGATCCTTATATCTTGGTTCAGTACGCAGGAACAGTGAGTGCACTTTCAAACAGGGACTGCAATCATCTTCTCCACAATGGTTCAGTCAAGAAAGCATGTGGATGCAGACTTGAATGAAGTAATTGTGAAATTTGAACAGAACAATATGACATTATGCTGGTACTGATGACTGCATGTTACAAGGTTGCTTCCAGTTACACAGCTTTCTTCCTCTGAAGTATTTTTTTTCTGAAACTGGACAAATGATTGAGGATGCAAATGATGAAAGGAGTTGATTGTGGAAGACTGACCTTTGAGTCCAGTGTAGTAGACCTCAACAATATGCTGTCTGTTCTCTTGTGTTTCTATAGGATTGCCACATTACTGTATATACTGTCATTTTGTGATCCCGTCTCCTGTAATAATATATTCAACCAGGGATATAGGCGATAAGCAATCTGGACATGATATGGTAATGAACTAGTTACAGAAAGTGGTTCTGGTGATCAGGAGTTCTGGGTTAGGGTCATTTTTCTGGCGATTAACTTTAACGGCTTTGTACTGTACATTTGTCATTACATTTGAAGGCTTCCTGTTTTATTTCTGACAGATGCTATGTGGCTTTACCGCCACCACTATAGTCAGGGGAGTCATTTTACGACTGTTCTGGCCTTATCCTTTGAGCCATCTTTAAAGCAGACTTATCCCCCTATATGTATGCAGATATTGTGTCATCGACATAGTACAGTAGCCCTAACTGAAGAGATTATTGGCCAAAGTCTGATTTCTAGTTTGCTGTATGCGAAACCTTTTGAGAGCAGTCTAAGTTGACTTACATTGTGGGGAGTTTAATCTTGGTATTTCCATACTGGAAATACCATGTTTGCCCCTCGGGGCAAACATGTTGCAAGAGCTAAACGGAACATGTGTTGTACAGCGTAACATACAGTCATGCTCAACACTGTTGCCTGATGTTCAGTTGTGGACATTTTAAGGGTTCAATATATTTTAAACTGCTGTCAACAATATTTTTATATTAACGTTAATCGGATCAAATTACTATGTGTAATGTGAAAGCCTGTAGTGACAAACCAACAGAGAATTGGGAGCCAACTCTGCAGTTCCCCTCAGCTCTACGGAGCATTTAGCATCTTCTAGCTCATTGTTTTGGTTTTACGACTTTGAACTTTAATTCACTCTCACAAGTTTCACTTTCAGCCACAGCAGGCAGCTGTTTTTAGTGATGTTAAAAACCCTGCTGTATGCTACCTGCCCAGCACCAAACAGTGGACAGGCACAGTTTGGGACTAGCAGGTGAACAAACTTAAGCATTTAGCAGCTAAAGAGCCAGATACACCCCTCAGGTCAAAACAGACTGCCTCTGAATGGTGTGGGGTCAATCTGAAGACCATTAAGTTTAAAGCACACCGAGTCCCATACTGAGAGTGCTTGTTAGCTCTCTAAATCAGTAGTGCAAAATGGTGCTATTGTAATGCTAAGGTGCTTATGGGAAGCCAAATCCAAACTCTAGGGCTAATCTGATCTCATGCGACTTTGTCATTGAGTTCCATCTTAATGGTATATTATGTATGGTGTTTCAGTTGAAATGGGTTGGGAGGACAACGTACAACAACCATTTGAAATTCAATATAGCATTTGACCTACTTTACTGTTGCACCATACTGATATCCACTCCTGGATACACTGCAGGTATCTGCTGTATGCCTTCAGATGTGACGTGAAATGCTTTTTACTAAGACCAAAGAATTCCCCCCTTTCTTGTTCCATTTGGATAAATAAACTATAGGAAGACTTAGGTGCAGTCCCACCCTTAAACTACACAAACTTTAATTTGTAGTGTACGCTGTGTAGCGGCAGATGTGTACTTGTATAGTACAGAATATTTAGGTAATCCGCCATAAGAAAGACAGGTTGTACAGTGTTGTAGAGCTCATGTTTCACACTGAACTCAGAGCGTGTGTGTGTGTGTGTGTCTCGGTAGGTAAATCAGTCCATCCACCTGTTTTTCTTTCTCTCTGGTCTCATTCCCATTGAGCTGTTAGATCAGTGTGACCTACAGCCCAGACACCATGGTAGACATTAAAGCTACCTTTGCTCCCCGGGAGATTGGATCCAGACATTTGTTTGCGCTTCAGGGTACGCGGTGTCTCTGCTGGATCATTCTGGTCCGTTATGTTTCAACACTGGATGGATACTACACCACAGGCCGGATCTGTCCACTTTCATACACTTTTTGATCTGCTTAATCACCATGAGAAATCTAATACTGTGTGTCTGATGTACATAATGTAAGTAAAGACACATTAAAGAGCAGAGTTACATAAATTCATATTAATAGCAAGTCACATCAGATGGTAGAGGGTCTCACTGAGATAGAGAGATAGAGATAGAGAGAGAGAGAGAGAGATTTCCAAGAAGAAATAGTGCATACAAAGGCCTTTATTTTTTCAAAGCTTCTGCAAATATGACATTTTCATGACATCAAGATATCACTGAAATGCCTACAAGGCAATTGGAGCACAAGATTCAACATGAAGCGCACGTTTACCTTCGACTGTGGCCTCCATAGAGATCACAGTTGGCACGTTGTTCATACAATGACTTCCTTATACAAATGATATATTGTAAAATTATAAAGGAAAAGTCTATTTGATTTTTACTCATCTTTCTACTGGAACAACTTGTATGTCCTGTTCTCGAGTGGGGCGCTATTTACACTACAGTGGTTTGACTTTAAAACTATGTAATAAAAAAAGCTGCTTTGAAGCAAATTCTCAAGCTGCATATGACAAAATGAGCCAGTTTATTGTCTCCATGCAGGAAAGGGAACAGGTTTCTACTCATTAATTTGACTATATGTCAGTTCTATTGCATGGTATTGTATCCTGTATATACAATTACACATTGATTCACAGCACACATTTCATGTTACATAGAAATCTGAGCCTTGCTTGGTGCACAAACGGGTACAAGACTGTCTTTTATTTCCTTTAGGTGACAGCTACAACATACAGGGTATCCACATGTTTCTGACAATGAATTCTCTCTCCTCTCCACTTCCTCTCCAGCATGGGTCGGGGCCCTGGCCATGGGCATGATCTTCTTCTGTTCACCCGTGGTCAGCATGTTTACAGACCGCTTCGGCTGTAGGAAGACAGCAGTCAGCGGGGCATTGCTGGCTTTTATAGGGCTGCTCAGTACATCCTTTGCAAAGTAAGCTACTGTACATTTATAATTAAAGACACTACTTGTCCTAGCCCCACTTTGTGCCCATGATGTATTAACAGTACATGTTAGTCACAGAGCAAAGCATTTGTGTTTCTGAACAATAAATACTCCGAGATGTTTGAAATGCTCAAAAATCTTAGTTTTTATATTTACCTTCTTTAGAAACCCTTGGTCATGTTCCACTTTCTTGGACGAATTCTCTACACAGCAGCTGCACAGACCGAGAGAAAAAAACATGAAGATGCAACAATGAAAATAAAGCTATACGAACAATTCCACAGAAACCTTTTAGGAAAACCTTGGATGTCTTATTACCTACAAAAATCTAAAAGGGGCAGCCAGAATTACAGTTCCGCCTTATGTCTGATATATATTCCTGCGACTGTGTACCTATGCGTTCTGTGTTGGCTCCTCTCGTGCACACCAGGCATACATAGTTCTCTGGTGGATCGTGCATAGAAACTAATTTATTGGCAGTCTCACCGGTCTTTTGTTGTTGTTGTAAGTGATGTAAGGTCATTTTTTGAAAACCCACCTCCCGGCCCTGATATCCAATCAAACTTCTGCAGTTTGCGGTCCGTAGCGTAGTCACATTTTTCAGAAGGTGCACGGTGCGTCTCTGCCTGCTCTCTGTGAGCTCCGCAAACAATATCTGCGGCTCTGCGGAAGCTTTTCTCGGAATGTATAGATACCAGTCTGATCATCAAGTCAATTATATTTATATTTCCCAATATCACAAATCTCAAATTTGCCACAAGGGGCTTTGCAATGTGTACAACATACAACACCCTCTGTCCTTTGACCCTCAATTTCTTTTCTATTGCAGCTCCCTGAGCCTTCGCTATTTCACATATGGCATACTGTTCGGCTGTGGCTCCTCCTTTGCCTTCCAGCCCTCGTTGGTCATCCTCGGCCACTACTTCCGCCGGCGCCTCGGCCTCGCCAACGGTGTGGTGACGGCCGGTGCCAGCCTCTTCTCCATGGGCCTCCCGGTTTTCCTCAACATGGTGGTGGAACCTCTGGGCCTCAGCAGGACCTTCCAGATTCTCAGCCTCTTCATGTTGGTCCAGGCCCTGCTGGCGCTGTTGTTCAAACCTCTACTGCCTGCTGGAGGAGGCATGGGACCCCCAGGCATGGGTCCTGGCCCCGCCAATCCCCAAACCCAGCCAGGGGCCACCGCTCAGAAGGGGAGCAGGTGGAGCAGGGTTCTGGGTGGGGTCAGAAGGTACTTCAACCTGCGTGTGTTCCACATCTTGACATACCGAGTGTGGGCGTTTGGAGTAGCAACAGCTGTCCTGGGCTACTTTGTGCCGTATGTCCATCTGGTAAGAACAATAATGGAAATGCTTCTACTTAAATTATAAGTGCACATTGTGTGTTTGCTCCTGCCTTGAATTGGGTTATCGAAACTAAAGACTGTACAAATATTAAGAAAGCAGTTCCTTAAAGTTTATAACATCCTTGGTTACTATGGTATGTGACTGTGAAAATGTAGCAATCCTGACCTCTTAATTGATATTAGAGGGTTGTATAAATAGCATCACGGTGTTGATTAGCTGCACAGCTGAAGCACATTACATAGCATGTGAGCATGTAACAGCTAATGTCCCTTTGTTTTGTTTTTTTCAAATGCTGGCGTGGTTCAATACCACTGCTAATAACATGATGTCTGCCCTTGGCTTGTAAGCTACAGCACAGATTTGTTTACGTTGTTTCTCGTTCCCTGCTGGGGCTCACACACACGCCCCTCCAGTGGCAGTGAGGAAAAGGAGCATTTCTGATATTTCTCCGAAGACCTTTTTTTTTGTTCCTTTTTAAAATAAAAAAAACTATAAAAAAAATGTGTAAAATAAAACTGATTAATTTTGGCTGCAAAAAGCGGAAACGTGATTTTTTTTTTTGGACTTAAATAATATGATGGAAAAAATAAAATAAAAATCACCTTCAAGTCAAAGTATAGTAATTAAGCTTTCATGATGATAACAATCTAAAATTCAGAGTAGATTTGAAAAATCTGCACGTGACCTATGGCTGACTTTGGTGTGAAATAGTGAGATAGTGAAGGAAGAGGACGAAGTGTAAAGCTGCAGCGTGTAGCTGTGAAGTTGATCTCCCTCTATCCAGATGTCGGATGTTCCAGCTCCGGCCTCCCTCTGTCAGGCTTGTTGTTTCAGGCTGGGCCCAGATGTAAACACAGCCCCGGTCTTTGTATTGGCTCAACCACCTCAGGAAACCTCTCCTGTATGGCCTCTCTGTGTCCCTAAACATGCCTATCCTATGGCCATTGATGAATGTAGAGCCCTTCAAAGCAGAGCAAATATTTGACAAGATCAGGAAAGACTTCAGAGGGCGGTTTAATGTTTTGGTCTGATTTGGGGGGTCAGGGCTGAGAGAGTGGGAGGGTCTGACCTATATGCGTTGGGTCTTCCTGGTCTGCTGTTCCAAAGGTCTGTGGATGGAGACGTTTTGTTGTTGTTAGACCTTTGCTTTGGGGCTATGGATGGACAATTCCTCTACCCCCCTAAATGCACACCCATTTGCTGAGTTAATTGACTTCTTAGACTTGAAGCACATAAACATATGAGAAACCAGCAGGTTGTGTGATAAATAATTTAATATGAGTAGCTTCTGGTGAGCTTCTTGTGCAGCACAATCACATTGAATCAACAAGCACACAGCCAAAGCTCACGCAGCACTGTGTCTGTTTTTCTTTCCGTGTCTCAGATGAATTTTGTGAAGGAGCAGTACAAGGGGACCCAGAAGGAATGGGTTCTACTGGTATGCATAGGAGCATCATCTGGGGTGGGACGCCTCGCTTTCGGCAAAATCGGAGACCTCATTCCTGGTCTTCAAAAGATCTACATGCAGGTGAGGAAATATTTGAAGGCATAAAATGTGAAAATGTAAAATGTGGAGAAACCAAGCAAGAATACATTTTGAAAGTATTCAACCGATAAATGCAGCTAGCAGCACTAGCATCAGAATTAGCTAAATACAACAAGAAAGTCACCTAGTCTGCAAGACCGACAGCTCGTCCCTTCAGGCCTCCCTCCAAAGCCACTTATGTATGTAAACATATAATAAACATAAATAATAAAACACTATTTGCTATCGTCGGTAATCACAGCTGTCAAGCTGGCAGCTTGTAGAAGGCTCCGGTGACGCGCAATGAGTGCACCGACAGAGAGAGAGTTGGGATGTAAAAGGTAATTTCAACAAATGTAACAAAAACATGTTGCTAAAAAACATTCCCTACCCTAGCTTTAAAAGTGGTATGAGGGTCTGGAGCATTGAGTCGAGATTGAAACTAGCTCGATCTCTAATACCGCCTATAGTCTCACTTTCAGCCGAACATGATTTTAATAGGTTTTGTAAGTACTACATGTACATTCCTGTGCTACAGTTTCACTATGATAATAGCTTGTAACAATATTAAAATTAAAAATCTGCCCACCAACTTCAACCTGAATTAGAAGACTTAAGGTTACCTATTAATAGTTGTTTTTGAGGCTCTTTGTCAGACGCTGTGAACTTATGTGCACTTTCCCTTTGTTTTACTCACCCCTCTGGCACACATACTATCCCACTGAGCCAGGATGTATTTAATGGTATTCTATTGAAAGGGTTATATAGTGTCACTAAGTTGAACATTATTTATTTTGATTTGTAACCAGAGAGATTCAGTGTCTTTAATGGCTTATTAGGCTGCAGATACACATGACTCAGATGCTGATTTGCACACACTTACAGTACCAGAATAGAAATAAGCTTTTGTGTTGCCATAAGAATTACCTGTCTGGACTATAGCGGGGATGATTTAGTCTGGAGAAAATGGAAGCACAGCAGTTCAAAGCAGAGGTGAATAGAAACAATATTTTTCATTTTGTGCTGGTGTATATGGAGCGCCTGCTGAATGCAAATGATCCATAGGCTCTGTTGGCCAGAACCACCACAATCTGCATGTTGTCAATCAAGTGTGTAGTTCAGCAGAGGGACACTGAGTCACACGTGACATTCATGATATTTCAATACAATCGCTCTCCTTTTTTCCCAGAGATGTTAAGAATTGCTTTTCATCTTGCTTCCTTGTACAATGTAGTAATAAGAACTACCAGGTTCTGCAATAGCTTCTACCCCCAAGCCATTAGACACTTAACTCTCAGAACTGTTAATATTTTGTCAAATTAAAGTCAGTTTAACAACAGAGAAAATACTTTTTGCTTTTAGTTTTCAGCATTCAGATGCCCATCTGTCCATGTAGCTAGCTGTTCACAGGCAACTCAGTGCATCTTTACCTCATTGTTTTCCGACTCAAATATGTAGGTTTCTACCAAGTCCTAATAGTAGTTGGAGGGTGTACTCTGTCGCACAAATAACACAATGAAGTGAAAAGGCCTGGAGGTCTGTTCTCGATGTACAAGTTCAACAAGGATAGAAACTGAGTCATCTGTACGGTATTTCTCCCCTCACTTCCTGTCACCTGGTAAAGCTTGTTACCGTGTCTGTTTCAGGTGGTGTCCTTCATGGCTCTGGGCCTGATGTCCATGATGATCCCTCAGTGCTTGGTGTTCGAGGGACTGGTGGTTGTGTGCGTGTTCTTGGGGCTGTGTGATGGCTGCTTCCTCACCATGATGGCTCCCATAGCCTTCGAACTGGTCGGGCCCATGCAGGCCTCGCAGGCTATCGGCTACCTTCTTGGCCTTATGTCTCTTCCCATGACTGCGGGTCCACCCATTGCTGGTGAGAAGCAAAACATAGCACGGATTTATACAGTACAATCCAGAATTAGCGTCATCTGGTTTCTTGCACTGTCTCCAGGATGTTGGCAGTAGCAGCGCACAGCAAGCTTTTTGATGTTAACAGAGTAAAACAGAATGTAGGGAGTAAAGGGAGAGTAAGACAAATGCAGGGCAAGATAGATCGTACAGCAGATTGTGTATGTAGAGAGGGTGACTCTGTGGGTTTATCTTCAGGGAAAAAAATCACATCAGGGTCAGATCTTAGTACTCAACTCCCCTTATGTCTCCTCTACCTCCTCCCTCTAATAACACCAGTGTATAGAAGTGCACTGAGGGCAGACCATTACATTGTTGACTGAGGAATCCTTGTGCTCTCTCATGCCAACATCTTTAAGATCCCACACGTACCTGAACTGCTTTTACTACAAAACACTCAGCGTTCCTTTTGTGGCCTCAGCTCAGCATACCAGAGGTTGTTATAAATGGTTTGAGATGTTTGTACCAAATTATATTTTAAGACCTAAAAGAACAAACAACCCATTGCCATTTCAAACGGAGGATCTCTGTTTTAGATTACATTTGTGACATACCGAAAACTACGCACATGAATATCCATGATAATAAAGTATACAAGAGCTGAAAGTTGATTCAGGGATTGACAAAATGTATCAGCAACTATTTTCAGCGGTTGGTCTTAATCTTTTTTTAGCAAAATGACTAAACCGACTAAGTTGATTGCGCGTTTTGTCTCTGCACACAAAGACCTGCATTCAGACATAAAGTACCGTAGTGTGGCATATGGTTTCAATTTTCCTCATGACTAACCACAGATGAAAACGTCATCTCCTGTAGTTAAACAAAACATGACATTGATAGGATGCAGACTATAATAACATGTTTTTTATGTAGATGTATTCATATTAAATTAAATATTAAGACATCTACATAAAAAACAAAAGCAGCTACATGTAGGCTCCTCACCAGTCTGAACGCGATTACCACGGTGTTGTTCTGTATTTACTCTACAGTACATGGACAAGAAAGCATACATTACAGGCAACAATGTGAGTACACACCCCTCCCGCTGCTCTCACGTCACAAGCTCAGCGGTAGATTAAACATTTAGTGCAGTGTTGAACTTCTTGACCTTGCTTTGTCACTGTCGGTACAGTGTGTTTGCCTCAGGCTACATGCAGATAAGTTTAGAATGTGGATATACGATCTGTAGACAGGGCGAGGTTTTAGTGCTGGATTTGAACACAATAGTACAGTCGCCTTGTTGGGTTCTACTATTTTGATATATAATGGTGTTATTGTGGCCATATCTTGTGTTGCCACTTATATTAATATTAGCTAATTAAAGTGGCTAGTGCATCAATGAGCCAAAACAATTGACAGACAAATCTAAGGCACTATATTAAGCGCTGACAATGTCATGGTGTACTGACACACACTGGAGCACACTTCTACATAACTGCATTAAGGCGAGACATTAAACCACAAGAGGTCAGCAAAAACAGGATGTTTATCTGCCGTTACGTCGCTCTTTTTACAGGGATAGTTTCGGGTAAATATGCGTATTTGAATCTAACTGTGTATTTTAAGACACAATAACATGAATCGTGTCCCCCTGCCTCCACTGCCCAGGTCTCCTACACGATTACTTTGGAAACTACACGGTGGCCTTCTCCCTGGCCGGGGTGCCTCCTATAGTGGGCGGCGTGGTGCTGTTCTTTGTGCCCCTGATACACCGCAGGCTCCAGGCAGGGGCATCAGCAGAGGAGACGTCCACAACTGACCACATGCTTCCCACTGCAACACCAGCGGGGGAGCCCAAGAGCTGCTCCAATGGAGACATCCTGCCCGGCTACACTGACGTAGAGACACACATCTGAGTCGCACTGTACAAAGGTTACCCATAATTATACGTATCAAGCATAGATCCTGTCGGTGCACTTTGATATATTATGTATACATATTTCTCATTCTTACATGTTACTCTGCTTTTGCTTTTAATCCCCAGGGATTCAGCCCACCAGCACCGTTTCTCACCCTTAGATTTCCCTCCTCTCAAACATGGACCTCCTGTCGACTGACGTTTTACCCTCTCACCCCCCCCCCCCCCTGGACTCTCATGGGCTGTTTGTTATTTTCACATGGAGAGAAATCAAAAAGGGCGCTCTGGCTACAAGCTACAGAGAGGACGAAAAGAAGGCACATCTGCGTAGGATGATGGGAATGTATGAAGGAGGATAAGCACAACACAGTCTCAACTAGGATTGTTTAATCTGTGGGGACTCTGTAGTAACACATGCCTCCGAGAGGAAAGAAACGAAGAGATTTGAACTGACTGATTTCATAGCATTTATCATACTGCTTTAGTTTTTTGAAGCTCTAAAAAATACTATGCTTTGTTTCTAGATTCTATATAAACACACTGTTAAGATAACAGGCATATAAAATGAAAATTAATTCACACTTTCTTTATGCAGTACCTCATGCATCTACTTTTTTTTTTTTTTAAACACAATACTTTGTATTTGGTTTGTGTAGCTGAACCACAATCTCATCTCGAGTGATTTGCTTTATTCTATTCCGCTGTGACAGCTACAAGAGAACATCATGCGTCTGTTGTAAATGTCACAGGATGTAACGGACAATTCTTCTGAGAGATCAGCCACCGGTCACAATCACCTCAGCTCAACCGCACACTGTAATCACACACACAGGGTCCAAAATACTTCAGCAACACTTATTTCGCTACTCTACCAACCTGCCTGCATGGGACACAGACGTGTGATTGTGGCAGCTGTTGATTCCCACTGAGTCATATGCCACGGACCCGAGAGTGTGAAGAGTTTTTTTCAGGCTTTGAATTAAGGTCAGTGACTTTGCAGCTTGTGGCAGGTTAATTTATGCAATCACAAGGGGTGTGCCGTGAGAGCTGTGCATCTGCTGCCTGAATTCATGAAACGCTACAGTCGATGCGAGGTCTTTTCGCGAGCCTGTACAGCCTTAACTCTCAGCATTTGTTTTTTTACAATCATCACACTCTCCAGTTATTATTGGCCTTTAAAAGTGTAAACAGGGTGCTAGATGAATCTGCATAAACTGTGTTTCCTATGGCTTTAAAAAATAATTCACAGTAGTTTGTTGGAATCATGCAGTCATAGCTGTTGGTAGCATCGGATTTTTATCAACTTCTGATTCGTATCATTTTATTCTGAATGTGTGTGTGTGTGCATCTGCACTTATGATAGTAGAGCCATTTACTATGTTACAAGCTGTTAATAAGAGGGGGCTACTAACGAAACGAAAGGTCACAGCCTCATCGAGGTATTCCCTCAAGCAGTTATTACGTTTCTTAAACGTTTGGACCACTTACCTCTGCACTCTTAGATTACAAGTTCTCTTGAACCATGAATTTTAATGAGCAGATGTGAAGTAGAGCTGCTGTTTGAGTTACAATGTGGGTATAGGCATAACTGAGGAGCAGAGAGGGGAATTAGTGCACAGTAAGTAAGGAAATGCCCCGGTGTTCAGGTGGTGGCCTCTTTGCTGTCACTGCCAGCTTCTGTGTTACAACACTTTAGAGCCTAAAAGCTACACAAACCTCATTGCTGAGTGTAGATTTTGGGGGGTAATGCTATTGGCCAAACAGTTCTGAATAGGAAACATACATCTATACCTCAGTAATCCAACAATCCTCAGCAATCCAGATGAACAAGTTCTTTTCATTACTTTATTATTTCACTCTTCTGTGATGTGGTCTTTGTTGGTGGAATTTGAATCAGGACTCAGAGCCACAAAGCTGCCAAACGCCTGTTTTCAATCACCATGGCTTCCTCCGAAACTGTTTGTTTAGGAACCACAAAACTGTGGAAATGTCAAACTTCCATTCCCTATATTCTAACAGTTGGAGTGTAACCCATTTAGAGATTTATCCTTCCAGTTTATTTTACCTTCATATCCACTTGCTCCTTTGTTCTTGATCCTCAGCATTCCTGCTCTCTCTCTCACCTCTACCTCCACATCATTAGCTTCTCTTCATCACAGCCTCATTTATCTGTCTGTGTTTGAAGAAATGCAGTTACATAAATGTCTTTAACTTAAATTAAAGAGACACTAAACCATAAGTAGTAATGAACCATATAATGGTTCAAGCCTGTTTGAAAGCAAAAACACACACATAGGCCTTTAGTTTGACTGAGGTAGTGTTACATTTTATTGGCAGTGCAAGTTGTTGAAAGCAATTGCAGCTGAAGCTACCAGACGGAAACAGAAGGTAGAGGTCATTTTAAAAAGTGCCGCTGCCTGAATTGTCTACGTACCAGAGATGTAAGCTAACTAGTATCATAAATCTTTTGGGTTTTAGGTTCATCAGCCTGCTAGCAAATCGAATCACATTAACGTGAATGTGAAGCTCCTAAACACTGTGCTCAATTCAATTTAAAAAATAAGGACACCTTCTACTTTTACTATCTAATTTTACTTGAAGTGTTGTATTTAGCCGAGTCAATATGCTCCTGTCTGATTAATTGTGGTTTATTTGATTTACTCGTTACAGTTTTGTGTTATGAAGGTTGCAAGAGTTTCTCCTTGCAACCTTCTCTGAAAATAACTCAAAACCCAATTGGCTCTAATTGGACATCATTCATCCACAATGTAAAGATGACGTTTTTACAGATAATAAAATAGAGGAAACATTTGATGAATCACTTAATATTTTAACTTGAAATTCTGTTACTTCTCCACTGAAACAAACGGAGCCAGTTACTTAGAAGTTGCACTAATGTACTGCTTTCACACTAGAGGCCTGTTTCACTAAAGGCCAATATCTGGTAAATGAATGAGGGCATCAGAATCAGCGTGATTGGCCATGTATGCGTGCACATACATGGAATTTGACTCCCGTTACACATTGCTCTCATCGTACCTACAGTACATACATAGAATATACAATAAACAAGAGAAATATAAAAACAAGGACGTTAAAGACAACAAAGTAGAACAGAGAAACTACGCATAAACATTAATATTTAAGTACTATGTACAATACAAATATATATCGAGGAATATATATTTGGAAACTACAACAGAGGACTTCCCCTCTGGTGGCCATATTTAAGGACCTCAGCCTTTTGGTTAACAACCTGGAAGAGGCTGATTGTGTTTCTATGCACAAAATATATCCGTCGCAACAAGATTGAATACAAATGTTTGTCGATTATGTCGTCACTTTGTTAGCTAGCACCTTAACATCACAGTTTTTTTTTTGTTTTGTTTTTTGGTTAAATGACACGAGGACTATAAGCAAGACATTTGATGGGAGTTGCTAGATTTGAGATTATAAAGTGAATTTTCCAGATCTTAACGTGACTTTTGACTCATTCTTTTTCTTCTTTTTGTATAGTCGTTAATTCTCCATCTTTTCTAAATGGCCTCTTTACTTTCACCCGAGTCAGACTCACAGTTTCTGGTCAGTATCACCGGTGTGCTCCTTTTTATTATTAGATTGGTAGAGAATACTGACATGTATGTACCAACATATGTACTTTATACTGTATACTTGTAATGGTTTTTAATTAACCATAAACTCTTTTATTTTAATAACAATTGTTTTTATTTGTTGGTGTTTTTAGTGATATACTTCAATGACTACTGGAAACCGTTGTTTTTTCTGTATAAAAAAAGTGAAGGAGCTTAATGAATGAAGAATGATCCAGTACATCTGGATGGTTGCACGGTGCCTATTGAACCAGTGTTTGGCTTTCAAAAGTGTTTTTGTCTATGCAGCGTCGATGGGCTCGCAGTCAACCTCCTGTGACCGCTTCACTTTCTGTAGTTAACTCTAAACGATGAATTTGATCTCCTGTAGCCTGCGGTAGCTTCAGGACCAGCTCACCCTACAGTAGAGCCCCTTACCTAAACTATAAACTACTAACACTACTAGTTCATGTTTTTAAGTTGGACTTACAGCTGCTTTTCCCTGACAGTCAAAACCTGACATTTCTCTCCTGTGTTTGCTTTTCGTTTTCTTCTGGTGCTCGCCTGTCGTATGCAGGTCAGAGCTACAGAGAGGCACATTCGGGCTCTCTTTGGTCTTTTGGTTGTTACATTCTTCCAAGATCGGTGTAAAACAGGTAAAATGAACAAGAATCAAAATGTGTCATATTTACTTACTTAGTCCGTTTGTAAAGTTATTGTGCTTTATTTCATTTAGCATTTGCTTGTGTTTACTGCTGTTGTCTATCAGTCAGTTGCCAGAAAACAGAACCAAGCCTCTCAGTCTCACCTCAGTAGACTTTTCTCTGGCAGAAAAAAAACCTAAAATACTTCTGCAATGAGCCTTCTACTCTGCAACCTGCCATTTCTCTGCTCCTCTAACCTCAATCTCTTGCTTGCTGTTTACCTGCTGTGCTTTGCCCTCAGCCTGAAACTGTACAACCCATATGTGAAACAGGATAGCTGAAGGTCTATATATCATGAAGCTGACTCATGATTTGCTAAAAGCTCAACACCTCATATACTGCCACAGTCGACCTCCAGTCACTTTTATTCTTTGTGAAGGAAAGCTTTCTTTGCTTTTGAGCACACCTGGATAATGTCTTTAGATGCTCCATATATAGGTCATAGAAACCCTGTTATGTGTGCATATGTTTCATTGTCTTGACTCTAGGCATCATGTTTTCACAGCTATAAATACCCTCAACTATTTCTGGTGATGTATATTTCTGTATGGTGCCATGGAAACACTTGGCCCAGGCCTTCCCACAGCCTTACATGACAAAATATTGGTAATATTTCAGTGCTGGGCTCTGCTAAATTTTGTCCTTCTCTAAACCTTTAAGGTTGCATCAGTTAAACCTCAATTGCCTCTCTTCACTTCTTCTGATATAAATACAAATTTGTGTTTTAGTCATTTTACACAATGTTCTAACAAGGCCAGTGAGGCCACAAGATCTGACATGAAATCATGCTGCTAGAAAAATTAAGGTAATTTTTTTGTGTGTGTTTTTTTAAGTAACTTTGAATCAGTATCAAAGGAGGCACATTTTTCTATTAAACCAACAATAAAGAAGTAATATGAAAACAACTCATGCTGTCATTGCCAGTCACTCTTTTGTTCACGGTGTGCTTTCAGTCCTCAACTGTTCCACTTCCACGCTGCAGGCAATTATGTTGGGAGATTAACCCCAGACACTCCGCTGCTGTTCAGGGACACACTGACTGTGTCTTCCATCGTATGTTCCTTATCACCACAGCAACGTGGCTGAGTTCACTGAGGCAGTAAGTCCTCCCTTGACTCCCCATTACCCTGTTTAACCTCAGTATCTCGCAGCTAGGCAGCCAACGCCGATGTCTTTAAGATCACACTTTGCTGAATCCGTTCCAAGCAGCATAGCTCTGAATGTACATAGAGGGATCTGTTGTTTTTGATGTTGTCACAAGACAGGGAATACGTCACTTGTTGAGCCTGGGGCGATTGTTTCTCTTTTTTATAAATAAGAATTAATACAGTGAAGAAGGATCTTTAACTGGGGCACAGATGTAAAAACAGAATCATATTATTAAATCAAATGAAATCTAAAGTCTTCTTAAACCATGAACCACATATTTTACTGTTCTGGCATGATTCTCTTTTTCAACAATTCATTTACATGATCAGAAACCGTCTCAAAACAAGTGTCTGTATAGAATAAGGATGCAGCAGACTATTGCACCAAAAACAACACATCAAGCACTTCGCTTTGGAAATAAAATAATTTAACTTATTTATAAAACCATATAATATATATTTTAGTCTAGAATTCTCAACTTTTTAGGATGGATATTTCTGCAGTGTACTTATCAAACATCTGTGTGGTTCAGTTACGCTTATTCTAAGGTAATTCTGGCCCTTGGTGATAAATTATTTTCATAGGCTACTGATACAAAATTCAGCTTCAGTTGTATTTAGCTAGTTTAAGTTCCTTTGGATCCTGATTAGCTTCACCATCACATAAGCTTTTGTTCCTGGGGTCCACCTGATCCCTACAGTATGCCAATAGAGTTTTATAACCAGAGGTACTATATCAGAGCGTGACACGTAGATTAAAACATTGTATCTTGAACGTCACGACTGGGCTCTTACGCCATAACATAAGGAGGGAAATGCATACAGTTGTACTGGTTGAAATGGTAAGTCAATTTAGCAGTAGTGTTGGATAGTTGATGTGTGAAAGTGGATTTTTATGTAAAATAAAGATAAGTGCAACCAAACCAAAGAAAACATGTGGTGCAGCAGGAAGAGCCAGCAGCCAGGAGTGAGAGAAAGGACCTATGGGGATTCTCAATGCATTCTGGATGGAGTGACCAGGTGCACTAATACAATCTTAACCTACCAGTGTGGCAATACCAACTCGACAAATTTCAGGTCATCAGGAAGAAACCTGAGAACCAGTTCCCAACCGCACAATACAGAAACATTTACTTGGAGAAACAAATCTCAGAAGTACCTTCACAATGTAAGAAGCCTCTTCGATAAGGTTTGCCCTGATGCAGGTGACCTAATGGTAAGGTGTTCATTAATATTTACTCAAATTAGATTTCAGAATGCTCAAAATCACCCTCAACCAGAAAAACAAAAGACTGGAAGGAAGTCTCGAAAGGACCTATAGACCAGAGTTTCTTGCTGAATCGGCTAAAATGAGATCCGCATTAAGTCAAGGAAGGATAAAAATGCCCTGGTGGTGTGATTCCACACCTCTCTTAAGTCTGAAAGAAAGGGCGGTGTCACACCATAATTGGCCAAGAGGGGAAATGCACCAAGCTGTTCTCAATTCGAAACAGATGATCTGAATAACCCTCCAATCAACTCAGTCATTGTGAAATTTCTCTCAAATTTATTGGGAAAAGGGAAATGACAGCAAGTACCAAAGAATGAGTGACTGCTACACCTGCAGACCGCTGGAGGCAGAGGGCCGACACGTAAAGCTGACTGATGCTGCAGAGCTGTCTTACTGTTTATTCCTTATTTTGGAGATAAAATAAATGAGTTGGATGGGTACGAATTGTAAAAGTGGAGACTGAATATTTGTATTTCTACAAACTGACCAGTAGGTCGCCATACAGTGCAGAAACCAACTGTTTCAATGCAATAACTAATGTAACACTGTAGATTCTCCAGTAGGGGTCCCCCCTCTCTCATTTCTGGAAATACATTCGATGTCAAAATATTTAATTGTCATTACACATGATTTACTAAAAAAATCATAATTTTAGGATATTATTACATAGCAATAAACAAAATAGTTTTTTTATGCCAGTGTTCCAAACATCTGGCCTATCCAACATATATCTTCCAGTTATACCTATACAGAAAATAAAATAAAACATAGAAAAATTCCACATTATAAACTACTTCTATATTCTTTAAAATAACATTTTAAATTATTTTTAATTAACTGTTCACTGAATTAACTGCTACACATCTACAGTTTATCCGGACATAAAGAGCTTTTTTGTCATCTCCCAGGCTTTCTCTAATTAACTAGCTGATCTATATGTTGTGAACAGCAGCTCAATCTCTGTGCATCATCCACATTTACAAGTCTAAATATACTAGTATAATGTTTTAGTATTTCATGGGGATCTTTAATAACATTCATATTTTCCTTGTAAGCATATGACAAGCATGAATGTTTTCTATGGTTGTGAAACTTTCAGGAGATTTTCACATTAACTAATGTAGGCACACTTGTGGGAAAAGCAGTGACACGCGCACACACGCACACGCACACACACACGCACACGCACACACACACAACTACTATGGAACAATTATGAAACACATGTTACTTTTAATGGTGTTGTCACTTTGACCAAGAAGAAGAAGAAGAAAACGGGAAAGAGAAGGTCTACTTTAGTGTGTATTATCAGGGGCCTCTGGGGCCTCTGGGGCCCTGAAGAACAAAGCGGGAAGTGATGTAAGTGAGAATGATAAAACTGTGGTAAATGTTTCAGTTGTGTCACACTGTTTTCTTTCCTGCCCCCCTCATGGCGCTTCCTCACTGATCTGTCAACAGAGAAACAGATTATTTTACACTGCTGTTACACATTAGCAGGTTGTGAGAAAGGAAAGTAGCAATCATTCATCGGGGTCCAGAGACATTGAAACTCCAGATCCATGTTTTGGAAGTTTCAAATCTGATGAAGTTTGATTATGGGTCACTGTTTTCAGCATCCGAGAGTCGAAAGACATCCAAAGTTCGGAGGGGTTCGGATTAAGTAAATGGCTGGAATAATAAAAGATGTTTATTTGAAAACAGTTGATGAAAACCATACATATTTTAGAAATCAGTACAAACCGTTTCTCAACTTTGTCTTCATTGGTAGATGCAAGCTTGGGCTTCTGGTGTGTTGCAAATTTGAGGGTCACCATTTGTTACAGGACCTTTGTGGTCGATTGCGAGTTTCAGCCCAACAACCACAAAACTTACAGCACATATGACTGCCACCCATTTTCCACTGAAAGTGCTTAGTTCTCTTCCTTCGAGGCAGCCGTTGTTTTTAAATGCTTTCAGTACAGTCTGAAAATTAACTTACAAACAGATCTGAGACTTACTTGAGACAGAAAAGTAACAGAATTTGGCCTTACAAAGGTTGGTGTTCGACAGCCAACACTCAAGTCTTGGATGTAGTTTCCTACAAACACGAGGAGTTGTCACACCTGCATGAGTTAGTGCTGAAATGATTTGTTCGATTTTGGTGATTGACAAATCACCAACAGCTTTCATTATCTCACTGGGTCATACTTGTACATACTCAAATGTGTCACTTTTCTTTGTTTTATTTCATTGTTATATTTGGGTTTTGGACTGTTGGTGGGACAAAACAAGCACTTTGGACACTCAATTCAGAAGTGCTAATAAATGACTTATCGAAACAATATTAATGAATCGCTGCTGCTGATGGGTAATCACACCTGGGCAGCAGGCCATGGCCTCTGCTCACTTATGTTTCATTCTGTTCAGATCACGTGTATTAACCATTAGTCAGTTGGACCTGTTTACAGGTGCTCAGCCTGTTGCTGAGCTTGAGATTACAGTCGGTATGTTATTGTTTTCAGAAAGATAAAGTGTGACAGCCAGGCACGAATGTGCTGCTGCCACGTCTCTGCCAACATATGTCCTGTTCTCAAAACAAAACACAGCCACTGCCTGCACACTTCCTGCGCTGATAATGAGGTGATAAAGGCTACTCTTGTTTTTATGTTTCACACAGTCTGGCCAAAAATGCACAACTTTAAAACGTGCACACACCGCGTTGTTCATTTCATCCTCGGCTGTGAACGACAATGTTGGAGCAGAACTGTTCATTGTTTCTGCAGGGAGGGCCTGGTGGAGGTGGATAAGCCAGAATAACAGTTCATGAACATTTTGGACAAGTTAAAGACAGATGGGACAAAGAACGAACAGAGATAATGTGCTGGAAGAAGGGAAGGAGGGAAGAAAGGGCTACATCCTCTCCTGACACGGACATGAAGACCAGGACAGGAAGCAGTGCATCGAGAGGTGTTTCTTATTGCTTAGAAGCGACCTTGTTTGAAGATGTTCAAATGTTCAAACACACACCTGAACTTGGTTAAGAGTTTTGAAAGCAAACAATTGAATTTTGCTGGAACAGAAGTGTGTGTTTGTGTGTGTGTGTGTGTGTGTGTCCTGTTTTTGTGTTTGTGAGCAAAAGACGACGTCACAACGAGGCGATAAATAAATGTTAGTGAAACCCTTTGAGATTCATCGTTTATATAAACTCTAATAAAGCAGAAAAATACATTAATACTAACTTTTCCAACAATATACATCAAACATTCAAACTTTATACATCCATCTGAAATATTTACACACGTTTACATTCAAAAGGTTTGCTCTGAAGTGAAAGCAAAGCAAATAGCCTACTGTGTTCCTTAGCTGTGTTTTAAAAACTGTGGCTCTGTTTAAATTCACATCTTAAAATAGATTTCTACCAACGTTAGAGATCCTTTTTAAAATGACATCAAACAAGATTCTTTGCTAAATAAAAAATGTCGAACAGAACAAATAGCTTCTCTTATACAAACAGCTTCATGTCATATATAACTTAAGTGCTCTTAAAAAGAATTTCAAAATGAAACCAGGATACATTACGCTACTAAAATGTTGCTGCGTGGCGTTGGTGAGTTGTCAGGGCCCCTGCTGTGTGTCACAGCCCAGGACCTCCAGACGCAGGGCGATGTCATTGATCCAACCCCGCGGGTGGATGCGGAGGTAGCGGCCGAACAGAGGAGGATCAAAAACGGTGAGAGCTTCATCGTCTGACTCGTTGTTTCCTGTGAAGATCTGAGGAAAGAAAAACAAAAATAGAGAAACAGGAAATGAATCGATGAATTAAATTAACACAGAAGACTGTGTGTCACTAACACACTTCAATAGGATGCCTTTGGTGGGTTGTCAGCTCCATAACACAGAGTGACTCATCCACCTGTGTAGCAGTAAGGAAACTGTGCGACAGATTAGGCCTTCTGAATCGATGATCCAGTGAAGGAATACGTGAAATGAGTATCACTGGCCTTCTTTTATTGGTAAACTGGGATGTGTACCTTTTCTCTTTGGGAGCTCTCCTCCAACACACTGCTCCAGGAGTGACCATCATGACTGACGGTGACTGAGAACTCGGTCACCATCATTTGGGTAAACACTGATCGTGCTCCTTGGGTTACGACCCCTGTAATGCGTTTTACTTTCCCCAAGTCAACCTGCAGCCACTCGTGAGGGTTGTTGTTCTGGGCAGAAAAGAGCAGAGGAAACATTTCTAGATCTTACAAAGGAAAAAACAGATCTGCAAACAGGTATACCAGGGTCTGTATTTATTCATTTTGTTCTGTTCACTGATTTGATTTTCACAAAGTATATTCACCGTCTCCAAATGAGAACTACACGAAGATCATGTGATTATGAAATGATATGAGCAGAAATATGAAAGCCAGAAGTGTAATGCATAAAATAAAATAAAGGACATCTCATGAAACACAAATAAATAGATACCAGTTTCTGAACGAGGTAGAAGTAGGCCGAGCAAATGAAAACAAAAAACAGATGTAGGGATGACCAAAGGGAACACCACACCACTTCCTCTCCCACAATACGATTAGGAAACTTATAACCTAGGAAAGTGTTTCTGGCAGTGCATCTTTTTCCACTGACATGATGTGGCCGCACACTGCAAAACCAAACATCAACCAACAGTTAATGAGGGGATTTTGTTCCCATTTTAATTCATTTAACCAACATTTATGATCACTTCTGGTTTCAACTGACATGCAAAGAAAAGCCCCAACAAACAAAAATGACCCAAAGTTAAACCCTATCTTAAATCACAGCTCTCACATTTTTACACAAGGAAAAGTAAATCCAGGCCATCCCATTTCATTCTGTTTCCTGGAACACGTTTTCCTGTTTAGCCTGATGTTGAGAACATTGAAAAATGAAGCTACTGTTGCCCATCTGTTTAGGCCATTACAGCCCTTTCAGGTTGCTATTCTAGAGAATAGTTGGCACACAGTGGTTGACCTCCAGCCATGGATCACAAGTGCTACTGATTGGCGTGTGACCTTTAATAACAGCTCAACAGTTTGACGGAGCGATGATTCACACCTCTACGGTTCAGTGCTGCAAAGAGTGGAAATGTTAAGCTGAGGAGGAGGAACTAGAGAACAAAACAATAATAAGAAAGAAAGAGGAGAGCGAAAGGGTGGTAAGTCTTATAATCTCTGGTTCCCATCACAATGTGAGAGAGCTAACGACTAATATCAATGACATCATTGCTAAGCGTGGTTGCAACGGAGCACACTTTTGACCCTACCTATCATCAATGCAGACTTGTGAGCTAAGCTAGCTGTTCCCCTCTGCTGTCAGTGTTCATGCTAAGCTAAGCTAAGTGTCTCCTCTGGTTGTAGCTTCATATTCAGCAGAAATGGTGTCAATCTTTTCATCCAACTCTTGGAAGGAAAGTGATCAAGCGTATTTACATGAATGTCAAATTATTCCTGTCAGTTACTCTTTAACTAGTGGTATAAATTACATTAGACAAATAGACAGCATTTGTGTTATTCGTGTTCACCTTTGGCCTCCAGGCGTTGGCGCTGCCTTCCTGGTGGAGGCGAGCGAGGCCGGGGCTCCAGCTACGCAGCAGAGATGAATAAAACGAGGAAGCACTAAAGCTGGCGTCAGGAATCAGCCTCTTCTGGAGCCCGAGAGGGAGAGAGCAGCCTGCTCACACGCACAAACACACATATAAGAGTCGTTCTCTGCACTTTCATACAGATCAAATGAACTCTGCGATAAATTCTGCTGCTGCCGGTGTAACTCACTGTTGAGATCGCAGCCCAGCAGCTCCAGGCGGAGAGCAGGCGTTTTCACAAAGTTTACCGGATGAATCCTGACGTAGCGAGCCACAAATGGTGGAGAGAAGGGGTTGTCTTTCACCTTGGAGCTGTCCATGTTGCCATAAAATGCCTAAACCAGAGCCATGCAAACAATTCAGTTTAAACTTCAAGGATCATTGAAACGTGCTTGAGATAGGCAACCCATTACATTGAACAATCTGTTGCCTTTACTGTATTCATTTTACAATGAAACCGCATGATGTCATGTTTATGCAGCTGCAATTAGAGACCACTAGTGCCTCTTGGTACATGTAATACTAGTAACAGCAGAAGACAAACTTTGTTCTGCCGGTTTCCTTTGTAGGTGGTCCACGTCTCTTGGTCCAGGCTGTAGGAGATGCGGAAGATTGCTATGTAGTTGTCCCTCAGCTTGTAACTGACTCCCTGTGTCTGCACAGCGTGCAACAGGGTGGGCCTCTGAAGGTCAACCTAATAACACACATTACAGCACGTTTCACTGTGTTTCTGTTTTACACAAGGATATTATAAAAATAATACTCAATTCAGATCTCGCATTCGCACACTACACAATATAGCATTGTTGTGCAATGGTTAACAGGAGAACGGCTGTATATCTTACTTGTATCCATGACATTTTGTTTCTGCCCATCCAGGCATTGATGAAACCCGACTGCTCCAGCCTCGCCAGCCTCGGCTCCCAGTTATCTGGAAACACGTGTGTAAACACGGTTATAATCCAACTCAGCGTGGCTAATTTCCTGGCTTTCAGATTTCATAAAGCTACTTGGTGGCCACAAGACTGGGACTTTCATTCTCAGCACACTGAGCATTTGTGGTAAGCACTTCCTCTCTCTACAAATATTGACAAATATTGTGGGTCTTACCCTTTTAAATAAAAAACACTGTCTTACCTATGTGATCTGATGCTGTAATCTGGGAATCCTTGATCCTTCCTGATTTCATCCCCAGAGGCAAGACACATCCTGCATGTGAAAATTCCAACTCAATATTGCCTTCCACAAATCCTTTTCTGTGCACTGAACACATCTGGACAGTACAGAACTACATATCTGTTTTCACATTTCTGGAAATGATGAAAAGTGGGAATCTACAGGTTTACTTCAGATATTCAATTTTGCAATATGGGAAGTGCATGAATTAATAAAAAGCCCCATAAATTACACAAAATACTTTAAAGTGTGGAAGATGTGGGGAATGCCACTGACATACACACAATGTGATGAAAATTGCACTGACAACATTGTTGTCCATCCATCCATCCATTTTCTTCCGCTTATCCGGGGTCGGGTCGCGGTGGCAACAGGCCAAGCAGGCTGACTCAGACCTCCCTCTCACCGGCAACATGTTCCAGCTCATTCTGGGGGATCCCGGGGCGTTCCCAGGCCAGCTGGGAGATGTAATCCCTCCAGCGTGTTCTGGGTCTTCCCCGGGGTCTCTTCCCAGTTGGACGTGCCTGGAAAACCTCCAGTGGGAGGCGTCCAGGAGGCATCCTAATTAGATGCCCGAATCACCTCAGCTGACTCCTTTAACGAAGGAGTAGCGGCTCGACTCCTGATGACCGAGCTCCTTACCCTATCTCTAAGGCTGAGCCCGGCCACCCTACGGAGGAAGCTCATTTCGTGACAACATTGTTGTCACAAGTCCAAATGAACCGGACTGTTGGAAAGGTGGAAAATTGGAGCGACACATTTATCCCGACGTTGATGCTAGTATGGCAAAAAAAACCACCTACAGTGAATCCACCATTACTGCTCTGTTTAGCTATAAAATGACATTCTAAATATTAATATTATACAGATATGTTTCACAGATATGAGCCACTCGGTGTACCTACGTGGATTATAGACCAGTAGTTTAGCCCTCATGCCGGCCAGCTGGTAGTCTCCGATAGTGCACTCCACAAGCCACGTGCCGACTGTGGGGGGTCTCATCTCCACCGTGCCAAACACCCCTGAGTGACATAGGGCAATGTAACACATGAAATAATAGTCAAGAATAAGGCATTCAGAGTGCAAGTAAGATAATTACTTAAAACAGAGACAATAAAAAGATGGAAGCTAGATTATTTTCTATGATTACATTTTTTCACTCCGTAAAAATACGGACAGGAATCATAATAACTCAAATCTGCAAATGCAGGGGTAAACATCTGTTCATGTGTTGCATGTTTTTATGCAACACATGAACAGAGAGTTTGCATGATCGAAGTGTAATGCGTCTCTTTATGCGTGTGTCTGTGTTTACCAGGGAAGAGGTTGTAGACCCCCATACGGTGTTCCTTTCCGGTGTGAACAGTGAAAGGTAAACCATGGAACTGCACAGCGTGGTACTCTCCATCACTTCCAACATTCAGAAGGTGCCACCTGACGAGCTGGTGCTGGGCGACCAACAGACCAGGAAGTGTCTCTGCCACATAACCGTTTATTGCTATGGAAGAACGCAGGCATTATTTCTGAGATTACATTTTTGAGTTTGAGATTAGAGTTCGCTCATTACAACATGACACCAACAATCAACCATTTTTCTCCACCTGCAAACTTATTGCTGGTGTGGTACCAGGGGTCCTCAGTGTTGGCCTGACAGGGCGGAGCACAGTGCCGCCGCAGGTTCTCCTCCATGTACCAGCTTTTAGTTTCATCAAAGGTGTGGAAGAGGAGGGCGAACTCCTGGACGTCTGGCTGCGTGTTCTGACGCGTCTGGAGAATACCGGATTTACAGATCACCAGTGGACCAATCAGACCTGAATGAAGGTCCTTCTCCTGGAACATAGAAAAGAAATTTTCTTCTTGTCATGTAACTATAGCTCAAGACTATTAGCATTAATAACTATTTCATTTGTGATTGCCATTTGATTTCCGTGCAAGGAAATACATTTTGGATAAGAATTTGTACAAATGAATACAGACAGTAAACACTGTATATCTATGGAAGATAAAGTAGGAACAGGCTTAAGGCAAAGACCTATCCAGACCTTATCCACAGTGGAGTAGTAAGCCCCAGTCTTGCAGGCAAATTGAGTGTTGGTTGGTCCTTGTTTGCTGGTTACTCTCCAGGTATATTGCCGTGCCTCCCCAGGGGCCACAGGCTCTCCTGGGACCCCGGGTGGAGCAGAGGAGGCATGGGTTTGGTCGATGCCGGCCCCCTGGCTGCGGTCATAGACCCCCTGAAGGTGAAAGGAGTAAGGCCTGGATGCCTTGTTCTTGAAGACCACCTTGAATAAGACACATTCACCAATAAAAAGTTAGTATTATTTACTAAATCATTCAATATTCTTTTATTTTGCTCAGGGACAATATCACTCACAGTGAGGACACCATTAATCTCAGCTCTGATGAAAGGTCCCATGATTCCCAGGTGTTGTTGGGGCTCTCCTCTGCTTACAGGAAGTAGGAAGTCTTTATCGCTGTAGGCCCGAAACACCACCTTCTTATAATCTGGCAGGAACTTCCTCATCCCTCGACGCATCTCTCTAAAAAGAGGAGTTGAATCAATACTGCTGCTTTACACATTGGGATTAGAATGAATAAAAAATAAAAATAAATCTTTTGTAATTGTGAAATGTGTCTTCTTCTTTTTATTTGATCCATGTCAAATAATAACATAATAAAGAAATTATCCAAAGCATCACCTAGTTCCAACAAACACAAATTAAATGAAGTAAGGCTCCTAACACCACAAAAGAAAAATGTTGGATAAAAAAAATGTTGATTCCTAAATCAACAGGATATTAGCATGCTAACGAACCAACATTAGCATGGTAACATGCTTAAAGCATGCAATAACCATTGCATGTGATCATGTTGATGTTTAGCTTTTTATCACGCTAACATGTCAACATTAGTATATTAAAAATGAGACATCCTAACATTTAGCATTTTAGTTTATTAAGGACAGAAGGAGAGAAAAAAACAACAATGAAATAGATTGATAAAACTCATGACTGTGCATTTGTTGTGGAGCTTGAGCCGGGAGACCATTCAATAAGCATAAAACCACAAATTGTGCAATTTCACATTTTTGTTTATGTACAGATTAAAGATACAGAAAATAACATGTTAAGCATGTTAGCGACCTTTAGCGGTGCAGGTAGGCACATTTTTTAATTTTCCACAAAACAATGTTAAGGTCCTGCACGGGTACCTGGATGAAATATCATTCCTACCTGGGTTTGATTAACTGGTGTGGTTTTCTGATGCCGTAGTCCCAGCTGATCTCCTCAGCAGCAATGTAGTAGACTTTGCGATGGCTGGTGTCTCCGGAGCGCAGGTCCATGTAATCCAAAGCAAGTATATCTGATGTGCCGTTCACCTATGATCAAATTTAGCATTTGCTGCGGTTGAGGGGGGTGTGTTTCGATTTGTGACAGTAGCCAATATATGGATATATATATACTTAATGAATGTACAAAAGACATACACACGGAAAATAGTACCTCTTGTTCGTAGTCATCATACTCGAGGGACAGATCAATTCCTGTTGTGACGTTGTTATTAACAGTGTAGTTGTATTCCAGATCTGGCAGATCTACTGTAAGTCGTTCAGGTTCAGACCGGATGTGGTTTTGTGGGACTATGTTTTGATCCATCTCTTCTGAATTGCTTAGCCCTACAGTTGAGTCCTTCTCGTTCAGCTGTGGATTGCTGTCAAGTAAGATCTCGTTGCTCTCTTCGAGCTTTCCATTCGTCCCATTATTCACACTTGACGCTTCTTTCCTTTCCTCAGCTTTTACCTCGGCACCAGCCTCAGTCCTATCTTTAGCCGCTTCTTCTCCAATCTCTAGCTCAGGTCCTTCTTCTTCTGAGGCTCCAGAACCGATATCTACATCTGTCCAGTTGCCGTCCGCTTGTCTCCTGTGCCTGCCACCTCCCTCTACTCCAGGTTCAGTCCCATTCAGAGAAACTGTCCGCTCCCCATCTCTCTCTATTTCCTCCAAGATATCCTGTGGGATTCCTCCCTCTTCTTCTGGTGATGTTGCAGTCACTTCCTTCAGCTGAGATGCTGAATGTTGTTCACCCGCAGTCCCCTCAGTTTTATTACAAATGGCATTTTGACTGGAAGTGTTTCCTGATTGAGTATTGTTATTCGCGAGGGGTTTCTCACACACTGGAACCAACACTGTGCGATTTTTAGATCTTCTGCCCCTCGGCTGTAGATCTGGCTGATCGACATAGTCAAAGTAATCGCCTTCAATCTCGTCATGATCAACTCGGTCTCCATCGTCGCTATGACGTACGCTGTAGCGGATGCTCATCCCCTTGCTCTTGAGGCTGCCATCATAGGCACTGATCTCCCACTCACCTGGGAGAAGACAATTTATGACTCAAGAGCGACACACAATCCGAGAAGCATGACTCATCAAAACAATATATATTTCTATACAAGACCCCATATCAGCAGTATCCTGATGCGTTGATGTGCATCAATAAGTCAAGATCTGCAGCTGTCAAATTTCTCAACATCGAGGCATGTCAGTGCTTCAGGAAAGCAGCATTTTTATGTTTCAGCTACTGAACCCTGGCTACTTCATCGGACTGTACAACACATCTTACGTGTACAATATATATTTGGTTATAGTGTCTTGGAAATTATTCTGATTATGCTCTTTGTTTTTGTAAGTTTGTTGTAGAAAAATAAGACAAATGGAAATTTGAAAGCTACCGAGTTTGCCAAAGCTCTCTTGACGAAGCTCTGCACTAAAATGTGAAGCTAGCACCTGTTAGCAACTGCAGTCAAGCCATACAGTAGAGTCAGCCAAGCTTACCTTCCAAAGCACAAATAGCCAAAATTTCCAGCTAAAAGGTACTTATATTACGGTGACCTTCAGCACCATAGATTCCAAGTATTCAATTAATGAGTTATTTAAAATGTGGTTACACCCACCAACATTATCTAACAAATAAGACGTCAGTCTCACCCATCAGCACGGTTTCCATTGGAACGGTTATGGCAGTCATGGGGAAGAGGGTGAGGACGGACTGGTAAAGGCCTTGGTACTCAAAGAGGTTTCCAGTGAAGTAAACAGAGAGGAAGTCACTCTGGGTGCCCACATAGGCCACATGCCAGAAGGCAACGTCCGTTTGAGACACCACAAACTGTCGCCCGCCGAACATGTCGCCGTTTATACCTGGAGTTAAAAGGAAATTAAGAGTTATTAAATTGATGGTGTGATGAATCAATGTATAATGGGCTGATCATACGAATAACAACAATCATACAAATAAGAATAAAACCAAATAAAGTAATGTTTGTGTGGACATAGAGAATGAATAGAAAGAATCCCTTTAAAGCAGAATCCCTTTAAAATATCATCAAATATTTTCAAAATAATGTATCAAATGACACTGTGAATTATCTTACTGTAAATGACATTAGAGCTGTAGAATTTAGGGTCTGTGATGTTCCAGGAGGTTTGGCTGGACTTCTGCATGTTTTCGTTGAAGTACCAACTTCTGTTCTCATCAAACACAGCAAATATCAGGCTCCACTCTTTGTCTGGGCCCAACTGCATGCAGCAGTAGATTCAGTGAAAGAGACAGAGGGTGTTATATTACATTAGTGCAGGTGAGAGAGAACACAGTGGGACTTTTTCAAATAATCCATTCAACATTGCGCTATGTTTACTATTGTTATAGAGACGTTCTTCTCACCAGACGTCCTCTGGTGTCCATGGTGTTGTGTTTGCAGATGAGCAGGGTGCCCACCAGCCCGGAGGCCAAGTCCCTCTCTCGGGAGACGGTGCTCTGATACAGCTGGGTCAGACACTGGTGGTCTCCCTCCAAGGGTCCATCATCTAATGTTAGCCTCCAAACGTAGCTAAACGTCCCGTTGGGCGGCACTCCCATGGAGCACAAGTCTTTCTCTGCAGCTGTTTTAATGTGATGAGATAGATAAAACAGAAAATAAAACGAGAATAAGACCACTAAAAACAAGTAGGAAAACATATTACACTGAAAACTTTATACATGCCGTTTGTGTTGCCAAATTACACATTTTTAGTATATTTGCAAGCTCGCATTGCTGATTGTGATATAAACGATTGATGAGTTTAGTCTGTTGGTTTATGTCTTTGCTTAAGCTTACCGTTGGGGGATCTATGCAGTGGAAGGATCTTGGTAAGGCCATTGGGGTAGATGTTAAAAGGGCGACTGGCCAGGTTTCTGAGCGTGATCTGGAGACACAGTTCAAACCAATGGAAGATCATTAGAAAGCCAAAAAAAGAGCGCTACATCTATGCTTTTGTTTTTCTATGATTGACAACTGATGATTTTTTTCTTTTTGTAGCTTATATTTGATCATGCACATAAGACCAAATTGAATATTTTTTGTCATCACTCACAAAGATTTGATCGTTGATTTTTCCTTTCAGAAGTGGACCCAGCAGTGTCGGGGCAGGGTTCTTCCTCCGAGTGAAAGATCCATCTGTGTATTCCACATACACAGCCTTTGTATACTTGTAGTCCAGGTGATGGGGAGGTGCAACCAAATATCCTGACTGCAACTTACTGGATGAGTCAAAGACGACAGAGAAAAGACAACGAATTCAAATCAACTTTCAATCTCTGTTACTCTTCTTCCATCTCCTCCTCCATCTTTCCTACCTATCTGCGAGTTTGAAGCGAAGGGTGTAGTCCCAGGTGACCTCTTCAATAGCGATGTAATGCTCCCAGGTCCTAGATGGCTGTCCTCCGCTGGCTCTTGCTTGCAGTTGTTGCTTCCTAGGCTGAAAGCTTATGGTGTTGAACATATCCTCGCCATCGACACTGTAGTCATCACCGCTGTCCGCGTTATCCTCGTGTTTGACGTTACGCAGGTCGGGTCCCGGCAGAATCACAGGTTCGGGGCATTTCTCCACCGTGAAGAAGGCGTTCATGCCATCTGAGCAGTAGCACACAATAACCACAAGAGTTATCATTTAAATAGAGGAGGTGAAGTACATTTGATTCGAGTGACAGATTGTCCTAAGTCCAGGAGACTTATCTGGTCTTTCTTACCGTGGCGGTGAGCATGTATCTGACAGCTCATAAGGAAGCGGCCTAAAGTAACAGGTCTCATTTCTGCAGTGATGAATGTCATCGGGGTCATCTCAACGGTGACTTTCCGATGGGTCAACACCTAAACAATAACAATACAAGTGTCAATGTTAGAGGGAGGCCTGAAAGGACGCACTGTCAAATTGCCAACATGACAACTTTCTAGCTAGATTTTGAGACTTTTGGAGCTAGTGCTTTAAACTGGAAAAGAGTTGGCAGCACTGATACTTTCAAAATCTAGCATACTCTTGCTGGTTTGATTGATCATCATTTTTTTTTAGATTTATGAGTTTAGGAAATATCTCCTTTACTCTTTAAAATGTGTGAGTGCTTTCTGTAAAGACTTGAATTACCTGCAAAGTGTGATCCTGAAACTGAATAGAGTGGATTTCTGGAGTTGTGCCTATCCCAATCAGATGCCAGAACACATGTTTACGGCTCTGACACATTGTCAAACCTACACACAAACAGACAGAGAGAGATAAAATTAGCCACATACAACACAGCCACGGATACACTGAGCAAAGGGTTAGCAACACTTAACATTACAACACGACTTCATGGAACAGACTCCCCGTCTATAGCCGGTCTGGTTCATTACCGGGTAATGTAGAGTTGATATATCCGTTGATGGTGTGGTATTCCTTTCTGCCGATGCTTCTCTTGAACTTCTCTCTGCTCTTCCTCTCTCCTATCTCTCCATACCAGCTCTTGGTCTCATCAAATACTGCAAACAGCAGGACAAACGCCGGGTTTCTCCTCTGGCCATCATCTGTGAGGGCACCTGGGAAAAATCACACACATACACAAAATACATGCGATTCAAGATGTGATACTATGCTTGCAATGCTATGGAGCAATTTAAAATACAGGAGCGTTTTCATCTTATTATCCAATATTCCTTTTCCTATACATTTTTGTTCACTTTTCTGAACATTCAGATAAACCCGTGCTCATTGCGAGCGTCTCTATCCAGTGCAGGAATGACAACGTTGATCTGTTGGTCGATTGGTCCACCACTTTGTTCTGGACTGAAACACCCCAACAGGTATTGGAGGGATTGCCGTAGAATTTTGTACAGATATTTAGGTGCCTACTGGGTGAACTTCAATGACTGATACAACATGAGGCTCACATTTGTAGTTTTAAATGAAATATCTCAGTAACTACAGAATGTATACTATTGATTTTTTTTAAATTGTCAAATACTTTGGTTTCTGACACTAATGTAAGAGCTTTAAAGAACAATAATTTACATAAAGACAAGACATGACGAGAGGTAATGCATGTTTGTAGGTGTGATTAGATGCTGTGTCTGTACCCTTTGCCCGACCACACACTGACTTGTTTTGCAGATGAGCAAGGCACCGATGAGTCCTGAGTTCACATCTCGGACTGTGTCCACCTGGGATGAGTAGGAGTAGGTGAGGCACTCTGGATCACTGGAAGTGGGACCGTCATTAGGGCTGATCTCCCACACGTACTTATAGTAGCCTCCAGGAGAGACGGCATCATCCTCCTTCTCATGGCCTGCTGTGTAGTCATCATAGCCGGCTCCTGGAAACAAAGACGCAGCATGACTCCTCTGATTTTATTCAGCAGTAGAGGAGGGTCGAAGCAGGAGAATGGGTGGCACAAGAATGCAAGTAATCCGGTAAAAAGAAAATCCTACAATGACATTGCAGGAACACAACAAATAAATAACGAAACATAACGTTAGGAAAATTATGTTTTGGGAACTTTACCTATAAAAAACATACAGTCAGGAATAAAAGTGAAAGTAACAATGTACACTGCTGTAAAAACATATCAAGAGGATTCACTGACTCAAGATCATTTACAGTACACACACACACACACACTTTTCTTCAATCTTGATATCACATGCTGCTGCGATTAGATCCGACGCCTCATTCCTATATGCGACAGGTGCAGCCTTTCAGATTATGATGAACTCCATTATGATAATCTACCCTGTGACAGGAAGGCCTGAGCTGTTTACAAGAACTGGCTGCTTTGGATCTACAGCAGCATTAGGACATTTGCCAATGGCTTCTGTGAAGGGTATTAACCTTCAAAAGCTGCTCTGATCAGGGATCATTAATTATTTCCTTTGAAGTTGGGTATTATAATTCAAAGGCACCTAACATTAGTCATCAGTCTGTAAGACTGGCCGTTTGGCTCAAACATGCAGCAAGAAATTTGCACACACAAGATAATGATAACCGTTGCTCGCTGTAATTTCCCAAGAATGAGGAGTCAACTTTGTTTTTTAATCTCTTAATGAAGTCACACTGTTTGCCTCTGATATCATTCTGGTTAGTAGCAATTTGACATTTACATCATCGCCTTTTCTGTGGATCTTTCTCCTTCTTGGGCCCAAAATTATTTCAGACTTCAGTAAAAAAAAAAAAAAAAAAGCATGTGAGTAAGAAGATACATTTTTCCTGAAAGCTGTAAAAGTAGGATTAAGTAGTAGGAGTAAGTGTTTTGCCATTGACTCATCTAAACTGTAAAATGGACTTCACATTAAAAAGTGATTATGAGTCAAAATGCTGAGTCAAAAAATGAAGTATGCTGCTGACTAATAAAAAAGCAGCTCCCTCCATTGGGTTTCCTACCTTCAGACTGTTTCCAGTAGGTGATCCCCACAGGGCTGATACTGTAGGACTGAGAGGCCAGGTTTTTAAAGTGGATCATCACCGTCTCACCAGCCTGAGCAACAATCACTGGGCCTTGAATACCTGCAATAACAAGGACACAACATTCTTAAAGAAGTCATAGATATGACCTCCTACTTCAAGACAAAAGGTACACGCTCCGAAACAGAACTGTTCGTTCTTTGTGTTGAAAAGTCAGGCAAACGCTATATTTGTCCACAACATCAGTATTCAAATCACATTATTGACTGTAAAACTACTAAATTTGACTTTTTACTTTCCGTTTCAGGTTCTGGACATTATTTAGTTTGTTTTATTTATTAAATTAATATAGCAGTAGACTATTAAACCATTAATGAAAATTATGATTAAATAACACAAAGCTAATGACATATTTGATTGATTGAGAAAATGGAGAATATCAAAAGAGACCTACCTGTCCATGCTGGCCTTGGTTTGGGGACAGTGTATGTAGAATCTGTATACTCTCTGTAAACTGCCTTGACGTATTTTTGAGGAATATCTCTGGATCTCCTTAAAAAAAAATAATAATAAAATCAATGGAACCAAACAAATCAAATAATAAGAAAATAACCACTTATGAACAGCCCTCTAAATCAATTGTTCCCATCTTTATCAATTGTAATTGTGTTACTTTCTAAAACATGAGCTTGTATTGGAAGCATGGAAGCCTAATTGTACTAGACTTAATTTTCTATATTTTTCTATTCTACTAAACCAGCGTTTGGAAACTGTCTGTGGGTAGTTTGAATTAAACAAAGACATATTCACCTTTGGTCGGGCGCTGGGTCAACAGCGTCCAAGTACACGTAGTCCCAACCGATTTCTACAGCTGCTATGTAATACGCTTTTCCAGCAGCGGACTGTTGCGCTCCTCCGGCGGAGGAGCACAACAGCAGCAGAAGTGTTGCGGCTCTCATCGCGGTCAGCTCCATGTCCAGGGTCAAACACTGCACCGGCTGTGCTGCTTCCCCTGTGGGCTGAAACATTTAAAGGAAGGGAGGGGTGGGGGTTGGGGAGAGGAGTAACAGGGTAGCTGGAATTGCACGTGGGGGCGTGTGTGGTGGGTGAAATGCGCACGTTCTGCTATGATAAGATCAGGTTAAGTCGTATTGTGCGGTCGGGGAAATCTGTCTTGGACACACCGCGCACAATTAACTCGTAAAAAACAGTAAAGTCATGAAATAAAAAGCACAAACACCTACAATGATGCCTCATCAAGTAGCATAATATACATATTAATGACACATATTGGGTTGCCAAGTAGTGAAAGGTTCCTTTGTCAGGTGCTCCAGCATGACACTGGCTGGATCAAAATCCATTTAAAAACGTATTATTTACCTATAACTGCATCGCTTATTTGAAAGTGAGAAACAACGGACTATTATTCTAACTGATGGATTGCAGACATTTATAACTTTGTGAGCTTTCTTTTTTTCCGCGTTAAAGTGTATTTTTTTTGGGGGGGGTCCAAGGACAGAGGATGTGGTGTGCTGTACAGATTGTAAAGCTCTCGGTGGTAAATGTGTGATATTAGGCTGTACAAATAGATTTAATTGAATAGTCAAACTTTTTTTTAAAGATTTGGTCCAATCTGTGATCATGAATTAATGAATATGACAGAGCATTTAGCTGATGGTGTAATACAAAATAACCCACATTGAACAAATAACAGAATGTAGTCCCCTTTATTTCATTTTGGATCCAACTAACTGACGGCAATACTTGCAAGAGAAAAAGTTAGTCTGAAAACAAAAAACAATTGTCAAATTAAATGATGATTTCTGAGATTTTCACATCCTTAACACTCCAAGAATATGGATTTAAGAGCCACATTTTCATAAATAGGCTTCACTGCCACCTTGTGGAAAATAAGAGGTACTGCAGAACTTCTGCATTTAAGCAAGAGCACACTTTTAATTAACCTTGAAAATAAAGAGGCAGTGTACAATAAATGGTTTCAGTATTTTAATGCAAACGTAAAAAGTCTCATTTACGGATGTGTGAACAAATCTAGAAACAAGTATGAATCCATGTTGATCACATGCGTATAAAACTAATTTAAATAGAAGCAAAACAAAAAACAGCACCACACTTTTTAGAAACAGTACATTTAAAATGTTATATGTTCGTCAATGGGACAGAAATGTTCACAACAATGCTTCTTGAAATAAACAAGCGCACGAAAGGGATGCAAAGTGAACTGGCAATATGTGTGGAGGCAAAAGAAGCTTGATAGACGGCGTTCGTCTTACGACTCTGAAAACAAAGACTACAAATGTCAATCCAAACTTTGAATATAAAAAACATCAATCTTGGTTTATAACAGTACTGATCATAGCTTCAGTGAGTTGACCTCTATGATCTGCTGCAGGATGTTGTCCACGTCGGTGGTCTCCATGCTGATGCCAGCCAGGTCCAGTTGAGGCAAGAGGGCCGTCAGAAGCACCACCACGTTGTTACGGATGCTGCGCAGATCTTCCTGTGAAGGTCTGATTGGAGAACAGCTTAATCATTAAAGCTATTAAAATATTTCAGTAGCTCAGGTGATGAAACTCTGTCAAGGGGAATTCACATTTTATTTACGAATCAGCAAAAATGGAGAACAAGTATGTGTAAACAACTGCAAAAGAGGACATGACTTAACCGTTTTTGGAGAAGTGCGAGTAGAAGAAACAGCAAAGAGTGTTGGTAAAGATGGAAGCAGATATTTGTACTGTGATCACTTGGATTGCTTTATCTTTTAGAAACATTTACGCCCCTGCACACAAATGTGGTCCTGCCAGCTACAGGAAATGACTCTTTATACTGGAAGTATATAGAGACAGATCTTTATATCTGAAAGTCAGCAGTTTGCCATGCTTGGAAAGTACAGACAAACCACAGTCAAAGATAGTAAATAAAGTTAGAGGTTGGAGTTGGATTTATTTTTTACTGCCATCCACGACCGGAATCTTCAAAGAAAAGCTATGATTGAGTAACAAATTTCTGGCCTGTAAACAAACTGATTCTGAACATTTAGGGGTGCCGGCGCACGTCTGTCGAGAATACACACCTGTTGCTTTCACAGGCCTCGTTGTCGCCGACTATCATCCTGCTATGAGTTTCCGTCTTCTCCTTCTTAGACACGTTCTGCTCAGACTGCACTATTGACCCACACACAGCTCTCTGACTCAGGACCACCATCTCCAGACATCCTGGAGCCAGCACCGAGCTGCTGGATGAACTAGAGCTCTGAAGCAGAGGAAAGAGAATCCAGGATTACACAGAGTTTGCCGTTAGATCTTCATTTAAGATCAGTCTGAGTAGATGGCCTTAAAAAAGACATTTATCTTTATCAAGCACTCTGCTCATATGCGATTTTTTTTGTCATGCGTCATCAAAATGAACCTAAAATATTGGGTATAAACTCTGCTGACCTCAGCCACGTCGGTCTGGCAGCCGACTTCTCTGTTTGCTCGGGATGCTGGCGGACTCTCCGGTCCTCCGGTGGGCTTTTCAGCGCTGCTATCAGCAGTCGTCATCGTGCCTCGAGTCGTCTTTGTGACCTCCAGAGCTAGAAGCCGCCGTAGCCTCTGGGCCTCTTTCTCCAAGCCCGCCAGCTTCTGCACGTTAGCTTCCCGCCCACTCCCCTCTGGAGGCAGTGGTCTGCTCCAAGGCCCTTCTGTTCGACTCAGAGGAGATACCATCACAGTCTGGGTGGAGGGGAGTGAGTGGGTCCAGGTGAGACTGCTGGGGGTTCGCTGTGCTGCATCACCTGGTTTCTCCACTCGGCTGCTACCGTCAGGATTGGGCTTCTCCAAGGACACCGTCTCGGGTATATTTATTTGGTTCTCAGGATTCATCTCTTGGGCCATCTTTTCTGAGTCACGCTGCTCCTCCTGAGGACATGGCTTCTTTCTCACACCGTGAATTAAAGATCCTGATTTCCTCTTGTGGCTACAGAGGACAAAAGCTAGTCAATGAAATTAACTGACAGACACTTCAAACAGTCTTGAGACAGTTAATCCATAACAGAGTATTTCATGAGCTCTATCTTGTTGTCAAAGTCATGTTATTATTGTGAGATAATGCAGCTGAAAACATACACGGCTCTGACAATACTCACTGCACTACATGTTAGCGTCAGGGTTAGCACTATTAACTCGTCTTTTTTCACTCAATGCTCGTTATATAAGGGTTGGCAGGGTCAGGTTTAGATTGTCTGTGGAAGCAGAACTCTGGTTGTGTCAGAGGACACTTCAACATCGGAGATGTGAAAGTCAGTGATTCTCATAAAACACACCCAGAAGACTACTAATAACTAAACATTGACATAGTTGAACGGAAATGTCTAAAATACGCGTTAGCAAACAGACAGCAGCAACCTCTTGAATCTCAAAAGGTTGGAGTTTCCTGCACGTCCAGCTCCCAACTGCATTACCATTCATTAACAACACAACTTTGTAATTGAGTTTTCATCGAAAACTAAAGTGAATGAACAAATAATTGTTAAGTGGGGTTAAAAAACTTTGTAAAATTTAAAACATGCCTTTAAAATGACGACACTGGAGTATTATTCACGATTCTGAACTGGCACACAATACACATGCAACATAGCGAACCTTAATGCGTATCTGTTCTCCTCTTCTCTTTCAACCGGCTCCATGTTTTTGTCTCCCTCTTTATCTTCACCCCTGTTATCAATGGTCTCATTTTCCACATGTGTGACTTCAATGGCCGTGCCTCTTCCAGCGCGATTCTGTTGCGTGCGTGCGACTTCAGCTGCGACTGTACTTTGTGTCTGTGCATCATCGTGAACGCGTGCGTCTGTCAGGTGATCTGTGCTGGTCTGATCTGGCTCTAGTGCGTCTCCCTCTGTGTGGCATTGACCTGTCCGCAAGGTGGGCCAACTTGGCTCTGATGAACTGCGTGAGACGATGTTGTGTTTAGCCGTTTGGTCCTGGGACTTGCACACCTGCGGCACAAACAAACAAGCACACTTATAGGCAATGTATCCAGACGTTGTACAGCTAAACAGCACACTGGCGTCTTTATCAATAGCAAAGTTGCCTAAAGTTTCCAACTTTTCACAAACCTCCAAGGATTTTTCTCGTTTTCTGCTTTTGGGATGCTCTCTGCAGGAAAAACAAACAGATTATTGACTTGAGAGGGGAAGATGATCTAAATTTGGCGATGTCTAACTGTACTGTATATATTGTTTATAACTCCAATAACTGAATAGGTTCTCACTCAGTTTTACTCATTGGTCTTCTCTCTAATTCCTTTGTGGTCCCAAATCCTTAAGATCTGAGAGTATTAAAGATTGTTTTTGTGTGCCACAGTTATAGAAAAATGATCAGTTAGGAAGTTAAATTAGAATAAGTAATTTCTGATTGGCTGTTTGTCTCCAATCCGACTGCTAGCAGGATTATCTGTTACTAGGGAAGAATGGAAGCACTGGGAAAATAGTAAGAAGGCCCATTGCAGCCATGCATATAGTTTTTACAGTTCCGGTTACATCAACCTTTTTATTATATTTGATGAACCTGAAATTCCATTTCTAAGTTAGTCTATAATGTATTACCTTGCAACAAAGGTGTGTAGCTAACTCCTGCAAGTTAAACAGTAGTTATCTCAGCTAGTAAACTAATTTGATGATCCTGGATCCTAATAAGCCCAAAATTTCCAATGATGCACAAACACATTTTCATATTAGAGGTTAAACACTTTTTGGTTTCAATCAATATTTGAATCACTTTGCATGTATGGGTAACAAGTCACCACGTTTTGAAGAACTGACTGATTTCTCATTTCAGTCCTTCTACGTTGATCACTGTTGGGCAGAGTATCGCAAAAGCAGACACACGCAGTCACATGAACCGGAAATAAGAGCTGGAAACTGACAGATGAAAACCACAACATGGTACATGAACCCACATGCAGTTAGAGTAGCAGTGCGAAACGTCTCTCCGTGTCTAAATTCTCACACAGACAAAGTTTGAGAGGTCTAGAGAAATTAAATGAGAGCTTACTGTTTCTTGTGGTTTTTCTGGTAGCTGGGTGTTAACAGCTCACAGTCTTCTGCTTCCTCTGGTGAAGAGCAGCTTCTGAAAGACAAAGAGACCTGGCAGCTCAATAACTGCTAAACTTCAGCTCAGGGCCTTCCTGGTTTAGCCAAAACAGACACGCACTGACCTCCGTGCATTTGATCTTAATTATCTTATTTATTTTGCAGCATTTTAAGCCTTTATTATAGACCATAGAGAGATGACAATGAACGAGGGTGAGAGAGATACCTATCTAAAATCTTTCTGGTACACAGACCAAGGTACTATGGGGAAACTAAAATGTGACTCGTCTGTGGACGAATGACGAGTTGCTGCTTTGCTTCACCATACAATACCGGTAGTCCGTTCAACAACATTGTCGTCGTCGTCGTCGTCGTTTCTGGCGCATGCTCATTACATAAAACAATGGGCATGAGCGAATTGAGATGACGTCATTGTTTCCCAAAGACTCCGGTTTACGTCCACACAGTTACACAGAGTAACTGGAGTTTTTCAAAAATCAGAAGGTGTTTTCAAAAATGCAAAAATTGTTTTAGTGACGAGAGGACAAAACGTAGAAGAAAATATTGGTTTTCAAAAATATCTGAATACGTATGTAGACGGAGCATGAAAGGGTCACTTCAGTAATTCAGTACTGCACTTTCATAAAGCTGGGAGACTTATACGATACAAATAAAAATAAGTAATTGTCTAAAATGGAGGCCGGGGTATCCTGACGTTAAATCAGTGGTATGGGTGACAATCCCCCAAAATGCTCAATCCTGCATTAATCATAATACAACTGAACAGTGGCCTTCATTAGACCATTCTTGCCTGGTAAATGTCTCCACTCCACGCCTTCAGTTCAAAACACACGCTCTCCAACATTTAATGTCTTAAGTCGAATCCAAGGAAATCAATAATAAGATATACACACCTGTAACTTGGATTGGGGTTCTGGCTGCAGTTCCAGCTTTCAGGAACCACATTGTAATGACTTGCCGGGACGCATCGCCACTTCAGGCAGTCTTCACACTGTAACCACATGGGACCCCTGTACATACAGACATACATGTATGAGAAGTGTCAGTACACAGAAGCTGGCACTAGAGGGGGAAGTTCTTTCACCAAAAATAATAATTATTAGAATAAACATCACAGTGAGTCTATCTGTTTGTGTACATGAACGTGTCTTTTCAAAAGCCATATACAACATAAAAATATTTTCTGTTGGAGCCGTTTATTTTATGGTTCTGCATGCCAAATAACTGTTGCTCAATGGGTATAAAGGCTGTTGAAGATCCTTGCCTCAGCATGTTTACTGTTCTTTGCTACTGTCGAGACAGCAGCTCAAGCGTCTCAAGTCTCTAATTTCAAGCTTTGGGAGAAAAATGACCTATTTTACACTTTCAGTTAATTTGACAAGTTCCTACATGAGTGGGTTATTAACTGACCTGCATCCTCCTGTATTGTTACCGTCTTTATCCATAAAAGGCTTGTTGAACGTGGACCAGTTATTTTACTCTTCCAGTGGATTTAACAATTTTGTGTACAGATTTAAAGGCAGATGGACCGGACGAACCAAATCCTCTTTCAGTTGTGAAAGACACAAATCAAACACGTTTTTCTCAATTAAATTAACAAATTCAATTTTAACATATTTTGGACCAAAGTTATGAAAACGCTTGAAGGTGAGGAGAAGAATTTTCTTTTCACTCCTCGCACTGCAACTTCCAAGATAAAAAAAGCAACTAAGTCAACACTTACTCGTCAGCATCCGGCTGGTCCGCATTTTCATCTCTTTCCACGGCGTGAAACTCACGCTCTCTGGCCTTCTTCTCGATCACCTCTTTCCAGTAGTCGTTCAGCTTTTGGCCCAAAGCACCAAGTGTGAGTCTTGGGAGAAGAAAAAGTAGAAGACAGTGCATTTCTTTAACTGTTTTACCTTATATCATAAACACAACAGTGTATCAGGCCAATACTGCTTAACAGGTCTGTTTCTCTAGAAGAAAATAAAGTCTTTAATCAAAATTATTTTAAGGATTCTCTGATCATCATCATCAGCTTCCTGGCTGTAAAACACTCACATTTGGTGTGAAGTTTGCAGAAATAAAAGCACTTCCGGGAAGAGCTGCATGAGTCACTAGTGCTATGTTTCCTAATAACTTTGTAAACACTGTATTGTAGCAGTTATTTTCTGCCATTCTCTGCTTTATGGCAAGAACCAATCCAAGCAGATAGCTAATTGGCGCATATTAGCACAGAACTTCTACCTCTTGGTTTTGTCTGTGTGTGTGTTGTACCTGTATTCTTTGGTGTATTCAAAGTCTTGCTTGTTGTGGGCAGGTTTGAGAAAGTTACACTCGATGATACCGATGACCCCGACACCTGCCCTTTGACCTGAAGCCTGTAGGGAATTGGGAAGTGTGATTAAGATCACCGCGTCTGCAATGAATGAAGACATACGGTCGCATCCTTTTCCCTTACCTTCAGCTGGCAGCCCACTTTCTCGAAGGCTTTAATGAGTCGGTTCCTGTGGTACATCATGATGCCATAGTGGTCTTTGTTTTTCGGGTTCAGCCCAAAGGTCACCTTCACCTTCTCTTTCTGACAGACACCAGTCAAGTTTAACAGCACTGGGCATTAGCAGGTTGAACAGCATTGAACAGCAGCAAAAGCAAATGTTTACATTTTTTTGGTTGATACAAATATAATATACTAATATTAATGCAAATATGAAATAAATGTATTTTTTCAATGATTTAAATTACAACTAAACATGAAAGGAGCCTGTTTTTTTCAACAGCAAATTAAGGATAACTCTATGAAATTACCGATACGATACCCGAGTTTCAGTACCAGTGTCACCAGTGTGGATATAAAAAATCAACAACATAGTTCTGCATTTGCCATTATTTTTCCTCGGGTATATTTCGGTGGACGTAGTCCGTATTAAAAGTTTTGATGGATACTGTTAAACAAATTTGAGAGAAAAGATTTTCAGAGACGATGCGTTTTTCCATTTAAAAAAATTGATAACAAAAATCCCAGAAAGCCAAGAGAGTGGTGCATTTCAATTGTGTAGAAAAAAGCTACCGTCTTCCCACTTCCTGTACGGATATCGCATCTAATATTTTAGGGATACACTGAAGTGGGGTTTGTACACATCATGCTCAATGTGTTTCAGCCTCCTCGACACCAGCTTAACCAGAATCTTCTTCCCCCTCAGTATAATCCGTGTCCTCGGCTTCAGATACAAGATACCGAGGTAGGCCTGAGTCGAACACAGAAACAGAAAGAGAAAGCATAAAAGTGAAAACAATTAAATTTAAAACACCTACTCATAATATTTTTAGTCTGATACCATCTGTTGACACTCTTTAACATGTTGATGTATAGCCTGAGAGTATATTACTCAAACTCTCTCTTGAAAAACTACATCTATAGTAATTATGAATATTATGACTCATGGTTCAAAAGGAAACTGGGGCAGTGTTACTACAAAACCAAAGGTACGTCTCTGCATGAAGCAGACACCTTCACCCAGCCACACACAAGCACAAGTTTGCATAGGACTTATATTTTCGATGTACTCTAGGGGATTACCCGCACTTTAACCACTCAAACCCTGATCTTAACCACTAGACCTAAGATCATCCAGAAGAGCTTCAAGTGTCCTAACGAGCTTGAATATTGACGCTATCCAATTAAAATGATCTTTTTCAAATTTGGTAAATATGACTCTTTCAGATAAATTTAACGATAAATCAGTAAATCAGTACCACTTTTGTACTGAAATGGCAGTATTATCATTTACCAAAATGATATACTATATGTAATTGCTAGTACTGCTATACTATACTATAATTACCACAAACGCACAAGACCACCACCATAAACGTCATTCTTTACATTGGATAGATATGATCCACCGGACTGAAGGGACATAACTGTATCAAACAGGAAGAGGGTGCTGTTTTGGTACAACCATGTTTCCCGTCTAGCAGGTGTAACATCGAATGTTCTCATATCCTCCTCTGTGTTTGTAATGATCACACAGGTGATCCACTCACACTGAGACTGTAGTGTATGTCGGGGATGTCATGTTGGGCTGTCAGGGATCCACCGTTCCTAAGACATGTCTTCAGCTCCTCGTTATGAATCTCGGGCAAACGGAAGTCACTCACGTCGGTCTCAAAGTCCATCTCTGGCTTGCCATCTTTTGCCCTTCAGGATAACGTCAAAATACATGATACTTTCCTTTAGGAGCAGCAAAAATAAGATCTCGTAGATTTTCCAGTTGTAATGCTACACAAAACAGGGATTTTAAGTGCGTCGCCTTACACATACATACAGATACATCAGCACAATTTCACTCACCCTGGACAATCTTCATAAGTGCGGTACTTAGTATTTGATGACAATGAGAATAGTAGAGACATTTTTGAACCAACGTAAAGAAGAAGAGAAACAGAAGAACTCCTTAACATGAACTGTTGTATTTGAGAGAACTTTGCTTCAGAAAGCAATTAGGAAAAGGGACTTCAAATCGTTAAATTCAAATTTCATCTGCTCTTCATGTGATGAGGACATGAGGCTTTGTTTCCGAATGTGTTGTTTTGCATGGATTTGACTAAAAGTAATCCTAAACAAATGTCTTATGCGTGTGCTTATGCTTATTTGCCTGTTTCAGTTTGAGTGTTTTTTGCACAATCATCAATCTCGTCATATTAGAGCATACCCCCAACACATCTAGCTACTAACTCAAACCAAGGTTTGTGTTAACTCAAGCTTAAGGCACAGTTTCAACATTTTGTGAAATATGTTCATTGGCATAAACGTAAATTATTAATTACCAACATACAGGTGAAAAGAGAACAACTCATATCGCTTACTTTGGAGCAAATGTATGATTCTGACCTGCGGATGTTCCAGATTAATATCTTGGTGCCTTTCTTGGAGAGAATGGAGTCAAAGTGTGCATGTATCTGCTCCTGGGAGGTGATGATGGAGTGTTTGAGGATGGCTGCCAGGCTGGCCTCCGAGTCCTCAGTCACCACCAGAGACTGTTACACTGAGTTAAGGTCAGAACATAGAGGAGGTATGTTTGTGCAAGGTGACAAACATATTCTCTGCCAATCAGTGTGGAGAAACCATATTTTTTCATGAAGGATATTGGTTTGTTGGTTGAAGGGGACAATGGGGACAATGACGGCCTGGGCCTTGATGTTTTCCAGGTAGGTCTGAGACAGCATCCCCATAGTCTGGCAGCCGCCATTCTTGGTGAAGATGAGCGCGTCGCGGCCCAGACGCATTGAGCCAGACTTGAAACCGTTCCCGTACACACCGATGGCCTGCTGACTGGCCTTACCTGAACCCTTTTCTGTAAAACCAAAGCTGGACATATGGAGAAATAAGGATGTAGGTTTGATCATTTTTATTGTCGACAAAACCGTCATCATTAATAAATAGAAGTCAATAGATGCGATTCATTTTTACATTGAGTAAATGTGTCTTCAAATTAATTGTTCGAACTCACACAGGCTCCGCTCTCTACTGGACTCTATGGGTAATACTGTCACATGCGTGCATTCGCCCACTGAAAACCTGCATATGTGTAGCCAGCCATTCAGTGTGTGCCTGCCCGAATATGTGCGGACCCCACAGTATATAAGGCAGCACACACCGCTGTCTCACAATCCTTTTTCTCTTCACTGCTTATCTTCAAGACCTCCCTGGGTTAACAGTGGGATGTGGCATTACCTCTCTGTAAGGAGGTAATACACCTCATTCCAGCTTCACCCAGGGGAGGGGTAGTGTACACATGTGTCTGTTCAATCCTCATCGATCTCCAAATGGGAGACAAGACGGATTAAACACAGTGACAGGATGTCTGCTGCTGCATTTACAGGTGAGCCGGCAGCGATGCGTTCACGGACCTCATCACCGGCTCTGCTGTTTCCATGTTGTTCATGAAGGGTGTGGCGGCGGACAGGACCGAGACAGAATGTCGCAGCTTTTTGCTGCTGCTCCACAGCTGGTCGCTCATCCTCTAACACAGTCTTAACAGAATGGATGGACAGGACACAGAGTGTGTTATTCTCTCCAGTTCTGCAGAGTCCCTACTCCATTCATGGAGATCAAGGGGTCAAATCTAGCCTGTGTGAGTAAGACGGAAGGTGACAATAATGTAACCCTAGTTCTATGAGTACAAGCTCAGCCCTCTACCAAAGGGGTCCTGTGGCTCCTACGCTGCACGCTGAAGAGGGTGTAGGAGGTCAGACAGCGGTGTGTACTGTGGGGTCTGGACGTATTCGGCTAGGCACGTTATGATAGGCCGGCTATGGTTATTCTAATTTTCAGTGGCCAGTAGAGGGCTCCCCCTGTGCTTATAGAACTAGTGTTACACTATTGTAACATCATTTTGTCCAACCAGGCGCCAAAAACCTAAAGACATTAACTTTATAATGCTAGAAAAAAGCAGCAAACCCTCACATTCGTAAATTGAAATAATGTTTAGCATTTAATTTATTTATACACTTAAAGGATTAATGGATTATCAAACCTCTGACAATTAAATGTATTCATACTCTAGTAATTAATCAACTCATCTCTTCAGCTCCATGTATGCGTGTGTAGTTACATTCTTATTTGTGTGAATTTGATGGACACTCTTGTGAGTCTTTGTCAGAGAATGTGTTTGTGTATCAATTTGCGGTCTGAAACGCTGGTGAGTCACACTGTGGTTTAAAGAAGGGAGGAACCTATCAGTGTTTGACAACATGCCATTAAATGTTTCTGATGCAACATTGACATTTTTGACGTGTTTTCCCATGAACACGTCAACTTGATGTGGATTTGCATGTGTGCGTCTTACCTGAGCATCTTGTGCAATTTGTTGGGAGTCATGCCGCTGCCATTATCAGTGAATGTTAGACACAGTTGACCAGCTTCATCAACTACATCTATCCAGATCTGTTTAGCGGATACACCAGGATCTGAAGCATTGTCTAGAACACAAGATGAAATAAATGAATTAAAAACAGAGAAGAAGAGATCTCTGTGATCTTTTGAACCCTTATTATAAGGCCTACTAGTTAGATGATTACTTTAAAATGTTTTAATAATTATATTTGTTCACAAATAGTAAGCAGTTCACTAATTATTTTACTAACAGGTTGTGAACATAGCATTGATAATTCACAGCACCTGGCATTATGTATCGCCCAAAGGACCTAATATGGAGAGGGCAGAAAAGAGTACGAGCAGCATGTGAGCAGTGCCAGTGTACAGGAAAAAGCCTTGGTACACCAGGAGTAAAATGAAGCAGTGCTCGGTTTAAAAGCACGGTTTAAAAATGTACAGGTTGTAGTTCCGCCCACCTTAGTTACCTTTGCTACCTCTGACAAGCGTTAGATTGACCAAGGAGGTTCAAAGTTTTTGCGCCCTGAGCAACTTTCAAAAGAATTAAGGGAACACCGTTTCTGACGCTGTATCTAGCTCTCTTTATACATCTGTGGTTTCCAAAAGTATACCTCACACCACATAGGAAATAACGAAACAAAAAAGCCATGACAATACACACACTTATATACTTTACACTTATTAGTTATGAACCCCACTGTGTATTGCGTCATTAAGCTTACATGCACTTTGCAATGGTAACAGCTGCAGATTTAATAAATTAATTCGATTTCGCCGGCCGAAATAACACTGTAAATGTCTGATCAATTTGATCAGTTGCAGCTAGCTAGCTAATTAAGCTAATTTTAGCTCCTTATGTTGCTTAAAAACGCCGTCTCTAACTACCTTAGTGTTTAAAAATGGACTCGTAAAATTGGAACCCTGAAAAATGCCAGCTACACGTGTCATATTGCACAGAGAGTAAATTGTCCCTATATTGCAGTGTATATCAGCGAGTTGGAATTCAGCCAATCATTCAGGGTTTTATATTATTTAGAACTGTTTTTCCTACTGCAACATGTCTTCTCTGAAAATATATATACGATGCCGATTCCTGCAGAAATAGCTAAAGAAATGAAGACGCATGTACAATAAAGTATAATAAGGTGACTGTAAAATCGCCACCGAGTAGGGCTGCACAATTAATCACAATTCTATCGGAATCACAATATGGCCAAATATACACTATAACAAGTTACAAAGGAAATTACCAGATAGATCATTAGACAACACAGGGTGTGTTCCTATTATTCTGCCCCAAGCTGTATGTACAGAGCTTAAATATTAGAACCGTCTGTTTTCCACACACCACAGCTACAGCACGAAAAACTAGTGTCGAAGTGTGAATGGTTTATACATAGTCTTTTGCTATTTTCATGCTTCATATTGTATACACTGTATGCCAATACATATTCTCATCCAGTTTTAGTTTACTTCTCTAATCTCTACCATGCAGCTGTTTTTACTTTGCTGCATGTGACCTTTTGCTTTTCTTCTTGACATGTTTATCTTATCGCGGATCTCAACAAACACCTCTCTGACACTCAACTAACATTGAATATAATATTCTCAGAGCTAGAATTAGCTGCAGATCGTCCAGCTTTTCATGAGCTATTGAGTCACTATTGTGAGAACGTACGGCATTCCCTTTACAAACATGAGCTTTTTAATGCAAACATAAACTCAAGGTGCAATGCCCCTGTGAGCAGAGATCACAGACGATCATCATGTCCAAACAGTGCACTTACTGCATTATACAGCACACTCACTCCCACTGCTCCTCCTGTCAAAACCTAGCAGCCAACAGACTGTCAGCACGTCTGAACTAGTAGGAGACCACAGAGTGGAGGATTGGCAATGTTGACAGCCCAGAAACAGACTCTTTGTGTCAAGTGGAAGGACAAATCATATGGTGAATAAATGCTGAATTGTAAAAAGTTCAGGCTTTTTGTCTTTTTCAGCCCAGAGATCTTAAAGCCATACGGTGAATTTATGTACAATTACTGTACTGTGAAACCTGACCGCAGTTTACAAGTTAGTAGCATTTTAGGAATATTATGACCATTGCATGATGATAACTAACGCATTATAATAAGCCCACTTATTATTATAATTATTTCCGTAACACTCCGCTGTACTTTCAACAGACACAGAGAAGCGTGTACCAGTCATACAGTCGCTAAAGGGTGAGAAAGAGGAAGTCCACTCGGTCCATTATAGCACCAACACACATCTGTTAAACACACGGTTCAGGGTGCGCGTTACAGCGGAAGAGTGCGCGACATGAAGTCATGGAAAGTTGCAGCAGCAACAACGGGCACCAGAGCTGCAGGTGCACGAGTCTCAGCGTAGTCCTTCATAATAGCACCCACCTATTAACTCTGCCACTGCGCTGAAGGGCCAGGTGTGACTTGTGGAGTTGCTATTCAGGAAGGAGGGACTCATCTTTAAAACAAAAACGATCAGTTTCAATTATTCTGCCCCCTTCAAGTTATTTTGCAAGTACATACACATTCTGCCATGATGTGAAAAAATGTGAAATACGTACGGAACTCAGGCGAATCCCATGCTCGCTTAACCTCGCCATGACTGCGACTGAGTATTTGGCCTCTCACGGTCTGTTTTCTGCGCGCAGACACGTGACCAGTCACAGGCTGTGGGCGTAGCGCATCTCTGAGCAGCGCTGTCAAAGGAAGTCACTGAGAAAGATTAAAGAGGCGAGCGAGCAAGACCTCACTCACTCTGAACACCAACAGTCTGAAGGATTTTTTTTAATTTTTTATTTGAGGATATAAATCCGTATCTAGCAGTTCTCTGTGACATTGCTTGTGATTGATAACATTCTCAAAACACCTTTTAATTGTCCTATCAATACTTTTAGAAAGCCACGTGCCATAGTTGTGTTGTCAGCGTGTCTGTTCGGCATTACATTGATGTTTTACAGAGCAATGTCAAGCGTTAGTGTGTCGGCCAAAAAGATACATGAGGTAGTATTTAGTTAGGTGTTTAGGATGCTTCAACGAAGGTGGGAGCTGCTGTAGTTCCTGACCGTCACATGAATACATAACGTCACAAAAATACTTGACAATCCAGCTGCCTGAGGCGTGACGTGAATGCAGACAGCATGCAATAATTGATTAGTTTATTTCAACATCTGTCTATTTTTGTAACCTGTGTAACATTTGCAGCACAGCAGCCGCTGTGGCCACAGAGTGGCAATCACAAGATAATTAAATGCCAAAACAAAGTGTAGAAGCAACACAAGGAGAGTCATTATGGAGCCAAATCCAGGTCAATAGTTTTGATCATTTGAAAAACCTGAAAGTTCAAGTTGTGGTCTTGAACATTGAAATATACAGCAATGTATTCAAAATTAAAATAAGTGAATGAAAAGTTTTTTTGGGTTGAATATAATTTTGATTCAGTTCTGGAATTTTTTTGAATACATTTTTTTTTTCATTTTTCACTTTCAGATCGTTTTTTTTTTCCAGAGGGGCGTGTCATCATGAGTGACAGCATAACAAAGAAGGCTGAGGAACTTCCTCAACCAAGGCCAAATTTCAGTAATAAAAGTTAGTGTCACTTTAACAATGAAGTCAAGCAACTGGTTTAGCCGATGAGGTTGAGGACAAAGCCATTTCCTGCAAATTGCATGTCACATGTAATAGATAGGTACTGCTAAAATCCCCATTTATACCAAATGTATCGGTAATCCGATTACATCTTTGCATTTTTTACTATAACTAAACTAACTGAAAATATACACACAGTTGTTTTTTTACAACAAGCAAAAGACAAATACATAGATAAGGAAATCAGAAAAGAAACATCCCCTTTTTTTCTTTTATTATCTTCTCAAATCTTAGTGCAATCACTCAATCCCTCGTTGCATAAAAGAGTCCCCATCGTTGGTCTCCACTGTTGGAACGTTTCAGTTTTTCCCCCCATCCGTTTACTATTGCAAAATAGTCGTCTTCAGAGAATTCCTGCGGGGAACAAGAGCAGGTATGATGAGCAGGTATTTAAAGAATTTAGAGACAAATTAAGGTTCAGTTTGTTTCTGTAGGTTATGTAAGCCAACCTGAATGAATTCTTCCTTGATGAGCTCTGCTCTCTGCAGCTCTGTCTTTATCACCTGAATGAACTGGGCTGTCCGGTCTTCTGACTGAACGCTGCAGAAACCGGCTTCCTGAAGGAACTACAGCAGAACAGACAAAGGGTGACGTAGTAGGGAATCAGCACTACCAGCTGGTGGACGGTAGTAATACAATAGAAACACATCTACAGAGCAGACTTTTTAGAAGTTACGCAATTTGTCTGGGGACTTGGTAAAACAGACATAGCATTCATTAAAAAAAGTATACAGTCTTTAATAGCATAAGATCTTAACTTGAGCTCTTAGCTTAACAGTTAAAGGATCATAGTTATGTTGTGTTTTATAGCTCATTTGATACGTCTTGGTTTTCTTCGTCTTTTAGGGAATTCTATGCATTTATTAGATAGCCAACAGTGCACACACAGGAAACCATGAGAAAGAGACATGAAAAAAATATATGAATATTCTATACATATGTTGATCTTTGCACCGCACAGTGACGGCAGAGGAGCACGACATTGCACAGTTTCAAAACGTAATTGTCAGTGCCATCTGGTGGATAAAATATGTAATGCTGCTACGGTTTCTTTATTCTATACTGGATGGTAAAGTGTCATATCATAGTAAAGAGGACCAAAGGGTTGAAATCCCCATAGGGCAGTGTGGTCCTCTCACAAACCGTTACATAATCAGGCTCTACTGTATATTTACCTTGCCATACTGTGAGGGTGTATAGAGGACGTAGCCTCTTTGTTTCACGTAGGCCTCGAACACCGGTGTCCAGGGCTTCTCCCCGCCGCAGTAATCACTGATAAGCAACTTGCCACCTGGCTTTAACCAAGACTGGACACAAAGAACAAGGTGAACGAAAAAAACAAGGCAGTTAGACCAGATCAAATCACATAAAAGGCACTAGTTTCCTAAAGACATTAAAGAGGTTTGGAAGTCAATGAAAGGACTTTCTGCTACTGTTTGAAGTACAAGAGTAAACGCTCACATGGAAGCGTTTGAAGAGGGCGAGTTTGTCGTCTATGTGCAGGATTGTGTCTCTGCTGTAGATCACATCAAAGGATCCTTCAGGGAACGACCTCCTAGTGGCATCAGCCACCTCAAACTGGACCTGAAGTAGAGTGCATGCCATTACTGAATAAAAA